CACGGCATCATCAGCTTAATCCTCTGTCAATATAGTCATCACCAGCAGCTACACCGTCCCCATGCTTACATCATTTCCAACATTGCCTTCAACAAGTAGCGGCATCAACATGGTCCTCATCATCCTGAATCCTCGTCCTTGCCCTCGTTCTCTTCCTCATCGGCGCCATCACCCTTAACGTAGGCATCATCAAGAACATAACCATTGCATTAATTCTTCAACAGAGGTCCTCCCGCTGCTGCCCGAGGAAGACCGCCCATCCTTCCAAAGCCTCACCGGCTGGCGGAAATTGCAAAATGCGCAGATCATCTGTGCTCAGCAGAAGCCAGAAAGTTGGAACATGGGTTTAGGAGGATAAGTGCTAGGTTCCCTAATTATATTTTGCTTTAGCGGCATGTTCCAACTTTCTGGCTTCTGCCATAGTGGTGACCAGATGACGACCAAACTGACAAGCACGTCGGCGGCGACCATGTGGATAGACGCGGGCTGCAGTAATCTCACCGGGGTTGCCGCCAAGCCCATTTCATCCTCGTTGAGCTCAGTGATCTGCAATGAAGGGTGTGGAGGCAGCAGGGCAGAACTATCAATCCTAGCCTTAGCCTTATCCAGGAAGAGCTGGGAAGCAATATTGGCAACGAAACATCCATCGACCCCTGGCCATTCTGAATTCCGCATGGCAGCTACCTGTTGTTGCAGCTTTGACTCTGTACCTACCGACCTCGCTATGATGATCCTCGCTGGTTGTAACCTCTCCGAAAGCAGACACAATGAAGCTCGGAAGCTACACCCATTACACAAGCCATGAAGTACGGTAATTTTACACGATGCGGGCCTGAAGTGGTACTCTAGTCAGGAGCATTATTTGAAAACCCCCCACTGAAAGCTATAAAGCCCACCAACCCGGACAATGCCCCGCTGTACCCACCAAAGCACCGCAAGACACAAGGTCCTATAATATAGTATACGCCTTAAAGTTGGAACGTGGGTTCCGGATGATCAGGATTTCCCTTTATTCCATGTACCATAATTTCAAGACGGAGCCCCCAAAACCCTATTCTAACAATTAAGGCCCCTACATTGCGGCTTTCAAGATTATTCAGGCCCCCGCAATAAGGCCGTTTTAAACTCATGAGGAGAATTGTTTTCAAACTTTCTGCGCTGAGGCGCCTGGTGGGACTTCAAGACGGCCGGCATGTCCAGCTCGATCGGGTTCAAGATCTCAGTGTTTAGGCTAAGGGGCTTCGGGTTTAGGAAAATAGGAGTTTGGAAGCCTGGCCGTAGGGCTTCGGGCTTAGGAGTTTGGAGTTCAGGAGTTTCAGCATCGGGGTTCAGAGTTTCGGGGTCCGTGGCGATCCGTATGTTACTTTTCGTACTATGACAGCCTCGGCCTCGGCTGCATGTAAACGCTTATGATTCTGATTGTAAACGATGTTATCACTTCGACTGTGATCTTCATTTTCGCTTCTCTTCTTCGGGACTGTTAATGTGTCATCATATAATGTTGGCACCGTCCAGCCCCATAAATACATGCAGCGCTCGCGCTCTTGATCTCAATTGCCCACCCCAGGAGCCATGTCTTCTATGTCACCCAGGAGTATCTTCTACAGCAGCGTGTGAATCCTTTGGACTCAACGGCCCAAGCAGTCCTTGTCCAAATGGCATCTTGCGATTCATCATGCTAATAGAGTGGTGCGACTGCGACAGGTGGTGCAAGGTAGCATCAGACATACTGCAGCTTCTGCGCAGCTGCAGTGTCCACACATCAAGTGCCCCACTGACAGCAAGTACCCTTTGTCGCTGCGGGGCTCAACGAGGTAGAACCTTGGACTGCGGAGTACTTGGGACATTTTTGCCCGGACTTGAACATGACAGGTGAGCCACGATCTTGCCTGAGGCTGAAACGATCTCATTCTATACATGCACTCGCCGTCTGGGAGTGTCTACAGGCGTGCAAAACACAAAGGCATCTCATAGAGAAAATGTTCTTGTGAACTCTCGAAGAACCATCATGCCGGGTTACGGGTAATCTAGCTTGTAGTCTGTTTAAAATCACAGTCTACATTGTTGTCTTCCTTGGGCTATGAATCGCTGAGATTCTCCACCGATTGCAGACTGCTGCCATGAGTATGAGTGGTTTGGGGTCGAGGGTCCGTGTGCCAGATCACAGGGTCTGCATCGTTCTTAACTTCGAGTGCGGTCTCGAAAATCCCCAAGGTCTTCTCGCAACCCCCGCCTCACGATCCAAAGCACGGAAACCAGGATCATACTGTAGTCACGTGGAATCTGTGAGAGACAGTGAGATTAATGATGCAAGGCCATGCAACCACAAAGCACTGTACGTGCCTCAATGGTTTGAGGACTCTTTGAGGACATGACGTCTGCTGCAAGGCAAAGAAGCGAGACCCGCCCCTCTTTTCGAGGAGAAGGAGGCTGACCTCGGAGAAGGGTTCAAGATTTGGGTGGTTGTCAAAATTAGGGTCCCGTTTTGGGTCCCTAATATGATACGCGCCTAATATTTAGGGTACCAAAAAGGGACATTATAATTTTGACAACTACCCATTTGGGGTGCTGAAGGTTCCGGCTGGGGTCCGGCCGAGGGCTTGGATTTAGGGCTCTCGGGTTAAGAGGGGAGCTTAGATGGTCAGGTTCTGTTTGGTGTTGGCTTGAAGTGGACATCTGCACTCAAAACGAAAGTCACGCAAACACTGTACTTGGTCGGCTTGCCTGAATGCTTCCAGTATCTAGCCACATCTACATTCGTCTCTTTCAATCCAGATCTCCTGTGTGTAATCCCTAGGAAATACATCTTTCAATCTAGATCTCTTGTGTGTATTCCCTCGGAAGTACAGCACTGCTGAGGTTTCTTTCAAAAATCTCTTGTGGGTGCATTTCGCGGATCTTTCTCTTCGCCACTTCTTTGCGGATGAGCGTGCGAGTCTGGAAATTTTGGGGCAAACCTGAGATGCTGTTAATGTGCTTCTTGTGGACGCTGTCGTGGCAGGTCTACACTGTGCTTCTCCCACACGGGCTCAACCGGCAGACGTTGTCTCGATGTCCGCTCATTCGATGCTGTGGATGTCACGAGCAATGCAGCGGTTGATGCAATGACGCAAGCAAGCTACCGTAGCGATTTCAAAGAGTTCACGCGTTACCAATGATCACACTTCACTACACACTTGAATGGGTCGGGGTTTTCCTAATTTGTTGGAGGTGTTGAACAAAATACTAATGGGCTAGTTACACATCAAGAAGGGCCAGAGCCATCCGTGTGGAGATGTGGTTTACTCTTTGGCCGCACACCTCACTTCGTCTTTCCAGGTTTGCCCCACCTCAATGCCCAATGGTGCCCAGCATCTGCTACACTTCCCTGCTTCCCCTGGCGATCTTCCGCCCGATCACTTCCGAGCTTCTTACCCCGACGAGCAGCCGATCAGCAAGGATTGTCCTGGTTTGGCACAAGTCAGGTGTCATTCCACACCGGTTCGGTCTTCCAGCAACCAAGTCATGTTCAAGGCAGGCTGAAATTTTTGAAAGAAGGCATGCTTGGTAACTTTAAGCCTGCATGTCATGCTTCGTTATAGAACTTGCATATCGATCTCATGCATGTGTATGCAACAGGGGCCGAAGAGGAGCAAGCGAGGTGCCCAGTCGAGTGGCATGATTGGTCAGGGCGAGCCCTCGGCATCGAGTGGCCAGATGGTTGCTCAGCAGATGACGGGTGGCAACGGTGGCCAGATGCAGATGGTTGATAGACCCCACATGACGGCTAACAACGGCATGCACACGAGTGGCCAGGTGATGGCTAATCAGCAGGTGATGAATGGCAGCGGTGGCCAGATGCAGATGGTTCCGGCTAATCAACAGGTGATGAATGGCAACGGTGCCCAGATGCAGATGGTTCCGAGCTCCCACATGATTGCTGGCAACGGCATGCACATGGGTGGCCCTGTTGCCAGCCCAAAAAAAACTCTGCATCGTTCTTGGGACAAAGCATACTCGGTTATGTTGCCGTCCTGCATCACCACAACCTGTGCATCCTCTGCTCCGTCCAAAATGATATTTCCAACATAGCAAGGCACAGCTGCAGCTTCGTGTGTCGATGACATTGCAACAAAAGGTTCACACACTATTTAGGATAGATTGCATTTGGTTATATGATTCAGCGAATTCAAAATGTAGTTCAATTATAATAGAATAATAGTTTCGTATAGATAATTACAGTAAGACATATATAGGCTGCTAAATGGTTGAATTTAAAGTTCTAAATTGAAATCCCAAGCCTGCGGCTTTGAATTTAAGATTTTAAACTCAAATACAGTTTCAGTTTAATGTAATAAACTCAAACCCACACCTGGCTCGTTTGAGTTTGGCCTTCTACTCAAGCAATAATCAGAGTTTAGAATCCTAAACTTAAACCCTGAAGGCCTGGAATTGAATCTAGAATCCTAAATTCAAGTATTTAGCCCACTCATACCAATCATGCCTTTAATCGTGGTTGATATCAACAAAAACCTGAGCACAACATCAACTGAGCTTGTCAACATGTCTCAACAACAGAAGCCTGCACAGGCTTTTGACTGAAACTTGAAGCCTATAAAGGCTGGTCACTTAGCCTATATAGGCTCATACAAGGATATGCTTTCTTTGGTTTCGGGTGGATGCTGTGCTTTGGGCTGTTGTTGCTGGTGCTTGTGGTGGTGGTGGTGGTGGTGGTGGCGGTGGTGGTGGCGGTGGTGGGGGCGGTGGGGGCGGTGGGGGCGGTGGGGGCGGTGGGGGCGGTGGTGGTGGTGGTGGTGGTGGTGGGGGGGTGGTGGTGGTGGTGGTGGTGGTGGTGGTGGTGGTGGTGGTGGCGGCGGCGGCGGCGGCGGCGGTGGTGGTGTTTGCTGTGTGTCATCTGTATAGCGGGTGGTCGGGGGTTGTTGTTATTGTTGTTGCACCTACACTGAACACCGAAACCACAACACCCAAGCAAACTCTGTTTCCCGTATGCTACACAGCCTTTACAGGCTTTTGCCCTTGCTACACAGCCTATACAGGCTCGAAAACCAAGCACCTCCTTCATTTTTTCGCCCATCATCGACAGACTCAGCTGTAATATCCATAGGCGACCTCCTTCCCATGCTTCTGGAGCGCTCCAGGTGCTTCATCGCAGGAACAACAGCATGGTGCTCTTGGTACCACTTCATGTCGGCCTCCAAGCCAGCGAAGTCGCTGTTCTTATACTTGTGAAGCAGCACCACCATTCGGGTCAGCCAGCCTTTGCGAGTCTTTTGCGAGTCGTCCACCTCAGGTTCAGATTCATTTGGTCACCCACTACACACCAGCCTAGCCCAATGTGTCCCACCCACTAGAAACCAGCTTAACCCAATGTGTCATGTGCAACCTATTAATTACACCACCAAGAAGCCTATACAGGCTGTTCGGTTTCGGTTTGGTTTGTTAGCCTATACAGGCTTTCGGTTGCTTTGTTAGCCTAGACAGGATTGTCGGTTTGGTGTTGGGTTGACCAAAACCACCAACATTGTTGCCGAGAATCTGGTTCTCGCCACCGCTGCCAGCCTCTATCCTTACTCCATTTCCAGTAAAGGCCAGCTTGGTGGTCGTCTTCGAACCACCAGACATCGCCGACGACCCAGCATTTGTAGCCGTTCTCGTTGACCCAGTGCTCGTAGTACTCCTGCTTCACCTCCGTCGTGGCCTCCTCCACCGGCTGTGCTGCCTGACTGGGCTCCTGCACCGGCTGTGCCATCCCTGCCGCTGAAGAAGAAGCCGCCTCCTGCTCCTCCTTGGCGAAGCTGCAGTCGCTCCAGCTCCTCCTGCTCCTCGGCCTCGGCCAGCAGCTGAGCTTGCAAAGCCAGCCGCTTTTGCTCAACCAGCAAAGCCTCGGCCTCGGCATCGACGGACTCCTCGGCAGGCGGCGCTTTTGCAGCCGGCGGCTGCTTGAACGGAGGCTCCATCTTGGGTGCTGTCGCCGCAATCTTCGGCAGAGCCTCCACCATGGCCTTGGCAAACATCTTCTCCTGCTCCTGCAGCTCCTGCACCAACCAGGAATGCAGGAGCACCACATGCTTCAGTACTATAGCCTCCATAGGCTTGTACATGAGAGCAACACATGAGCCTTTACAGGCTTCACAAAAACACCTCAGCCTCCACAGGCTCGACAACAACACTCGCCACTGCACAAGAACATGTTGCATGCAAGGGCCCGGTCCTGTGCTTGCTGTGCTATCACATGCAAAGGCACACTGGCCGGCACCATGGGCGTCCGAACTCCAGGAGCAGCTGCCGTTGCTGCAGCCATAGGCACTGCAGGACCTTCAGGAAGAGCCACAACATGTGCACGGCCAGGACCTTCAGGAAGAGGCACATCACCGCCAGGACCTTGAGGAAGAGGCACACCATCGCCAGGACCTTCAGGAAGAGGCACCCCACCGCCAGGACCTTCTTCAGGAAGAGGCACACCAGTACCGCCAGGACCTTCTGTAGGAAGAGGCACCGCCAGGACCTTCTCTAGGAAGAGGCTTCAGGGTCACCTGCATGCATCCCAGGCAGACATGAACACAAACAGTCAAGGCATGCAACAAGCCTTCACAAGCTTAAAGAACTCCAGCATGCCGGGCCTCGGTCCTCGGCATCTTGGCAGGCCGCTCATTGGCAGCCAAGCCATCTTCGTACTCCTGCATCAATGGTTGCATACACTGTGCACAAGCCCATGTTTCAAAAGAACATCAAGAATCAAGAAGAAAGTCGACTGAGTCAGCTCACGGGCCCATTCCTTGGCCCACTCGGGAACACCCTCCATCTTGAGCTGCCCGTGTCTGCCCATGTAACCAAAATGAGCATGCCCTTGCTCGGCTATTCAAGTAACCTGCAGCAGCAACTTGCCATTCATGGTTTCTACATAGAGCCTGTAGAGGCTTTCAACTGTTTGGTACTGTAGCCTGTAGAGGCTTTCAAGTTTTTGGTATTGTAGCCTGTATAGGCTTTCAGGGTTTTGGTATTGTAGCCTGTTGAGGCTTTCAGGGTTTGGGGATTGTAGCCTGTAGAGGCTTGCATGTTTTTGTGATGCTAGCCTGTAGAGGCTTTGAAGCTTTTGGGATGGTAGCCTGTAAAGGCTTTCAGGTTTTCGTGATGGTAGCCTGTAGAGGCTTTCATGTGTTTGGGATTTTAGCCTGTGCAGGCTAAAAGGTTTTTGGGATGGTAGCCTCTACAGGCTTTCAGGTTTTTGGGATGTAGCCTGTGCAGGCTTTCAGGTTTTTGGGATGCAGCGAAATTAGCGCCTAGAAAGGCTTCGGGTATGTAGAGCAACTTATGTGTGTTCTTAAGCACAGTGCACATGCTTCATTTAAGATGAGCAGAACAACAACACATCCCAGGGGCATGCGGTTTAGGGTGGAGGTGTAGGGTTCATTATTTAAGGTTTGAGGAGTGCATGCATCATGCAATGATTTTTCTCACACAGAGGAAGAAATCTCGCAGCTGTCACATGTACACCCAGCATGTACAAGTTCATTTCTTCTTGAATGAGCCACTCTTAACATAGGCCCGCTTGTCTTTGCCCATGCAACTCTCAATGTTTTCATCTACATACTCACAAACAGCACTGAGCATGTCTGCATCGAGCTTGACTACAATGTCGGATCCCTTCAAGGACGATGGTGTCTTCACTTCAATCTCCTTGCCACCAATGTCGATGAGCAATGTTGGCGGGGCTTTTTGGAACTGGATTCTTTTGTTTCTTTTTTGGTTGTTCACCCTGATCTTCTTCACCAAACACATCATCGGCTGCTTTGTCATCATCGACCATGTGCTCCATGGCCTTCTGGTGAACCTTTTTGTTCAATTCTGCGAACTTCTTGCAACCACTAAGGCTGGGTTGGTGCTTGGATTTGTAATCATCCATGTGTCCCAGAATTCCCAGAATAAGCTTGGCCACACAGTAATGCGACGGCCTCAATTTGACCCATGTACCCTCATCTTCACGGACAATGAGGTCATCTGGCATGATAACTCTGGGCCCTTCTTTAAACTGGAGCTCGACCTTCTCACGGATTTCCATGGCAGCCATATCGTGGAAGGGTTCGTTGAATCTCGTATTCTATAGTTCATACATACACCTGTGCACAAACAAAGTAGCATGCACATTTGCAAATCTTACATCATGCATTGCATGCACTGTCGGGCTCAACGATTGCTGCCAGTAGCAACATGCATGCAACACGGATGTAAGGTTGAAAGAAACACACACATGCACATAACCGCATGCTTATCATTTACTAGCCTGTACAGGCTTACATCTCATGCATGCACATCAAATGTGTAGCCGATACAGGCTTGCCTGAGTATCATACACAACAAAGGTTTAGCCACTACAGGCTTCAATATCATGCACATACATCCATACCCAGCCCATACAGGCTTTCTTACTACTTCATGTACCACAAACCCACGTCTACAGAACATGATTAGCTTTTTTCCGGGCGCTAGCCGACTGCAAAATGCCCACCCGTGTCTGTACTGGATCGTGCTTGTGCATGCTTCTGTGCAATCAGCTCTCTCTCTCTCTCTCTCTCTCTCTCTCTCTCTCTCTCTCTCTCTCTCTCTCTCTCTTCTGCCCCTGCTGTACAGGGGGCTTATACAGGAGGAGCTGCTGCCCCGGCTTCAAGGCATTCGTGTTCTTCATGAATGGCATCGAAAGCTTGTGAAACTTGCTTCTGCACATCTCCATGGTGGCCTCCGACTCGACCCGACCCAAAAGAAGGGGACCAACATGCCTGTGGCAAAGTCAACCTTGGGGGGCTGCACGACGAAGAATGCTCCGGAATCCGTCTCAATCAAACACTTGGCCTTGTCCTTCTCGGGGGAGCTGGACTTCGCAATCGAGCCATACGGGAGGAGTTTGAGATGACCCTTTTTGAAACCTTTCTTCGCGAAGACTTTCGAATCAGTGCTGAAATCAAGATCATCATCATCGAGCTTGTGCCTAAGCTTTCTTAAATGAAATGCAGGAATCCTTACATTACTAGCAGCCATCAACACACAACATGTTCAACATCACATGTCGAGGAGCTCCTGGAAGGATGTGTGCAACTTGAGGAAAGCATTTGCTTTCTCAATTTCATCCGTGAGGTTCGCTGCGATTTGCATTCGGTGGATGATGCTGCTATCCAACATGATTGGGATCTCTTTGCTAGTCGCTTTCATGAACTTGAGGTCTTTGTGTGGCACCCTCACCGTCTCCCCCTTGCCCCAAACATCTGTCACTGTGAACACACCGTCCGTGTCGTCCATGTGCATGAACACGTGGATGTCACTGCAATCCTTCTTCAAGTGCTTTCCATTCGCTTTCGACCACGGGTACAGCTGCATAGCGATGCTGGCGGGCGACGAAGTATCCTAGGTGTATGCACATGCATGCATGCTATGTACACAGAACCTATACACCAATGAATGCATGAATTAAGGCATCAAGCATAATGCAAGAATTTTGCATCAAGCCTATATAGGCTTTTGCTCCGAGCCTTTATAGGCTTTGTGTAAGCCTGTGTAGGCTGTTTTGAGCCAGATGCTTTTATTTAGGGTTTTTTTTCTGCGGTTATATAGGGGGTTAGTGCTTAGGGGTTTTTTCAAACTCCAGGCCTGTAGGGACATGACCTTCAAATCGGTGCTGCCGGCAGCTCCTGAGCTGCTGGCCTCACTTCCTTGGGCTTGGCCCTGGAAGGACTCTCCATGGGTCTTTGCATTGTCGATTTCCTTGGTAAAGGCTTCTTGAATTTCATGGAGGCTTTTGTAGACATGGAACCCCCGTCCTTTCCCGGATTTTTTGCGCAGGAACAGGGCCGTCCTGATCTGCATCCGAGCAAAGATGGAGATCCCCCGCTTTTGGTGCATCCACCCAAGGTTCTGAAGGAGCTCGAGGCACATTTTCGTGAGGGACTCTGCGGACTTCACCAGGTCCTTGTTAGCCGGCGACTTCAATTTCTCGAAATCGCTCTTGACCAATTGCTCTGCGATTCCATCCTGCTGTTTTGTCGACAGCATGTTTGAAATCCAGAAGGCAGTTCGCAAGAGCGGGTAGGTGCATGTTGAGTCTTTCATCTGAGTAAAGGCCAAACAGTCCATAAACTCAGCACCCATCAACAAGCTGGAGTTAAAGGTTTTGCTCACGTCGCTCATATAGCGAATAAGCGGGAAGCCTTCGCCCCCCGCAAAATTCGCGGTGTAGTGACCCACCGACTTGATATAGGGCAGTGGCATTGACCACTTCGTCGTCTCAATGGCCACCTCCATGCTCTTGCACTGGTCGTAGTGGTAGGCCAAGCTCATCGCGACCTCGATCTCATTTGCGACCTTTGCCACAAAGTTGCTGCTGTTCGCAGCTGCCTGCACCATGGTGGGGAACCAAGCACCAATTTCATCAGCTGCTGCTGCACTGATGACTTTCCAAGTCCAGCCATCATTGCAAACCTTCTGGAAAGCATGATCCTTGAACTTGGTGCCCAGGATATCGACACTCAAGTAGCCACTGTTCAACTGAGCCATGTTCTCGTGGTCCGTCTTGGCGCCTGCCAAGCATGCCTTTACAAATTGGCTCATGTGAGACGACCCAAGGCTACAGAATCGCTCCTTCCCGCTGCAGGGGGCAAGTCGCCCCTCTGCCTGGGTCACAAGGGCTTCGTTTGCCTTGAAAGCCTCGGCTTTCAAGGTGTGAGACAACTCTGTACAGATGCTGTTGCCCTCGAGCTGGGCAACATCGAAACCTACCGACAGGGCCCGCCATCCCTTCTCGTGCGAATCACAGCTGTTGATTAGCTTGCCGCGCCGGTTCACTGGGTGGACGAGCATCAAGGGTGCCTTGATCACTTGGGTATAGAGGTGCCCACTATGCTGAAGCAATTCGAGGATCTGAGAGGTCTTCGTGTTGATTGACAGCCCGGTGGACTCTTTGATGCTGTTAATCTTCGCCAACAGAGCGGCCTCCATGGCAGACTCTGTATACAAGGTAGATACAAGATGACAAGCTTCTTCGAGCAAAAACTTACAACCATCAAATTCTACATTCCAGCATCCACATGCACATGCCTTCACAGGCATACATCTCATCATGGTTGTCTTGCATGCAGCCAGTAAAGGCTTTCAAGCCTTTACAGGTTTTTACATTTACAAGAGCCAGACAGGCTTTCAACCAAATAGCCACACAGGCTTTCACCAACATGCAAATGTCTCTGAGCCACACAGGCTTTTCCAAACACATGCACATGAAACGAGTATATATGCATGCAACACCATTCCCATCACGTTTCTAACTTGAAAACTCGTTCCTTTCACAACAATCTGGAGCAAAGAAACACATGACAAGTAAACCAAAATCGGAAACACTCGCCCTGCAGATTTTCGAATTAACAGAAATAATAGTCGGTTAGAAATTCAATTAGTTGATTTAATAACATCAATAATTGCCTTTGCTAATCTTATATAATTTTTACATAACTAGTTAGTAACACCTCTAACATGGTATAAGCTCTTAAATCGCTTGTTGGTTTTATGTTCACTTTTATATAACTCGTCTTATTGTTTACTGAACATATAATGGCTTATGGACATTGTAAGGACTCATAAGTTGTTACTATGACTTTGCTAGCTTGTTCCCATACCAACAAAGCAGTAGCTGATTTTGTCGTCCCTTCCTTGAGCGACCGGACACCCAAGAGTTTCAGACGATGGGCAATCGCACTGCATCCTTCCCACATAGTCACGGACTCAAGCTTTTGCCATTCTGAGTTGGTGAAGTACATGTGGAGGTTCTCACAATGTTGGGGCACAACAGTTTCCCTGGTTGACCCATTGTTCCCACTCGAAACAACCTTTTGATCCACCACCTGAACCAACTGGTCGTACATGTCGCTAGGAAGACCGCTGCTTTTCAAGAGATCATAGAGCTCCACAATCTGAGTGGGTTGCAACTGTGGCATGAGCTGAAGCTTGCGCATGACTTGTGCCAACAAGGAGCTTTTCAGCTCCTTCACATTGGGCCGTGCCACTAGCAACAGCTGCATGCTTTGCAGCTCATTGGCTATGTCCTTCACGGTCCACTGCGACATGATTCCTGATCCAAGATGCCTGCCCTGCTACATGTGTCATAGCATGCATACCACAAAGTGAAAGCCTTTAAAGGCTCAGGCACCGCAACACAAAGAAGCCTGTAGAGGCTGATCCAGCAATTCTTTTGTTTGCTCCTGCATGGACCAGCTGACAGCTCTGGTCTGCTTGGCATGAATTTCATGCAGCAATGCACAACTTCAACCCAAGGGTCCCTGTGAGAAGGCCACACAAGAACCAATGGGATGCATTCTTAATTGGGTTCTAAGCCCTTTTCCGTTGTGTTGCTCATGTCTTCAGCAGGAAACCCACTTTCTCTGGAAGCAGAAACTTAGATGCAGATTGCCAATCAGCCGATGGGGATGGTTAATCAGCAAATGATGAGCTCGGTCAGCATATGAACAGCTTCATTCAAAAGTCAACTGCTTTGTTGACACCTGCAGCACTCGAGGATGGTAAGGTGGACCCTACACCACACAGCGAAGCTGCAGGGGACAATGAACAGGATGAAGCCGCAGATGGTGAGCCGAGTACTGGTGAGCCCACACCATTGGAAGACTTCGAGAAGCAAGCCTTCGAGAAACTTCACAAGAAGAAAACGAAGCAACCTACAATGAAGCGACCCGCCGCCGCCAAGAAGAATCCCCCGGCTTCGAAGGTTACGACTTCAAATCCGAAGCTGAAACTCGGTTGCTTGCGATGCCGAGGAGCAGCCAATGGATGCGATCAGTGTCGCGACCCGAGCTTCTCGGGACTTCGTCTCAACAGGTCCGAATGGATCGAGTATGCTAAGAAGCACGGTTTGAAGTACAAGTGACGTTTCACACGTGTCACTGCTTCAGCAAGCATGTCGCATGGCTGTGTTTTGGGTATGTTTTGGGAGGTGAGAACACCACCCAAAAGACTCGCGATCTCTAGGACGGTGGGTGGTTGACAACATTCTCGCAAGCAGGATGCTGAAAAAACTTTCTATGCCACTACATGCATTGATGCCTGTACAGGCAGTAAGCTATGTGACATTGCATCTTGTTTGCGTTTTGTGTGAATGTCTGATTATGACAGCTTGTACAAGCTCAGATTGTTTCACAGTGTGGCAAGTATGATGCTCAACAAAACCATGCTATGCCACAGCACGGATTAATGGAGTTCGCCTGTAAAGGCTATGGAATATTCGGAACCTAGAGATTGCTTTGTGTGACTGCATGACTATGCCTGTGCAGTCTCATGGCGCTTTTTTTACATATTGTCGCAAGGAGGATGCTAAAGTAAGCAAGAGCCATGTGTTCTATCACAACATGGATTACTGGAGCAGCCTTTCGAGGCTATATTGGCATCGGTGCCAAAAAGATTGCTTGTCATTTTGGTGAGTGTATGATTATGACAGCCTGTATTGGCTCACATGTCAGGGATTTGTGTAAGTACTATCGTTACACACACATATACTGTGTACATTCATTACATATGCATACACATTCATACATTCACGAGAATACATACATATAGACATACATATGCAGGCCATAGGTTCATACACACAAACTTAAAACACACAATATATATACATGCATACATGCATACACAAAGGGGTCCAAAGGCGCACAAACCTACATGCATACACCCGAATGCATGCACAACCTAACAACCTGAAACATTGTGTCAAACTATCAACACCTCAGCCTGTATAGGCTTTCTTTGTAAGCCTGTACAGGCTGCATTGAACCTGTGTAGGCTTTTTTTGTAAGCCTGTACAGGCTCCATTGAACCTGTGTAGGCTTTCTTTGTAAGCCTGTACAGGCTGCATTGAACCTGTGTAGGCTTTCTTAGTAAGCCTGTACAGGCTGCATTGAACCCAAAACCCCTAAACCCTCTTGGTAAGCCTGTACAGGCTGCATTGAAACATGCAAACACACACTTAATGATGTCTCCTTAGCAGCTGTTCGGGTCAATCGTTTGGGTCGCAAGGTTTTCTTCATATCAAACAACGTGCTTATGCATGTTTTCCTGCATGATGCAAAGTAGCAACCGGAAACCATGCAATTCCAGAGCTCGTGTGAGAAACAACTGTGCATGGGACATGGTCCTGTTTGGTTAGGTGTATACTTCTTTGCATGCCTGCTCCTGATGTATCCCTTTGCCGCATGTTAATCATGGTGCCCTCTGGCTGTCGGTGTGCATCATGTATGGTGCATCGTGCTTTTACTGCATGCAATGGATAAAGATGCAGCTGCATCAGGAAGGCCTGCGAAATTGCAGAAGCTGCATGATCTGAGAAGGGGTGTGCCTTATGTTTCGAAGTCGGCCTTGGAGGGTATCCTGAAAACCATTCAGGAGAAAGGCATCCCCGAGGTTGTTCACACAAAGGCGATGCTTGAAGCAACCAGAAAGGAGATATCATCTTGGAATGCCTACGGCAGCCTTCTTCAAACTTGCAGAGTCATCGATGTGCATGGTGCAGAAAAGGATCTCATGTTCGTGAACTTCCACAGCTTCCTGCACGGACTCTTCAAGCAAGGGGGTTCCTTTACAGATCTTTTGAAAAGCTGCCACAGTCGGAATCCATCGAGTGCTGCCAACCCATATTCGTTGGTGGTATACAGCGACGAATGTTGGCCTGGAAATGCCCTCAGTGCAAAACCAATAAGAAATCCTGGGCACTTTATTGCTCTTTCAAAGAGTTCGGCGGAGCCGTTCTCGGGTGCGAAGATGCATGGATGTGCTTGATGTTCCAGAAGACAAACTTCATCGGCAAACTGGACGGCTCCATGAGCCAGGTCTTGAAGAGGATTCTTGTTTCTTGCATGCATTCAGCATTATGTTTGTAGCTTGCCTTGGGTACATAGCATCTAAATGCTTTTGAATGTCTTAACTTTGGATGCCTTCGTCCATGCAACCCAGGAACACGTGTTCTGCAACGATGTTGTGAATCCTCAACTCACTGGAGTACTGCTGCAATCTCCTGATCCTGAGGATCCACCATTGCGGCTGTATTACAGGTTCAGGATCTTGGTCCAGGACGGTGCCGCACAGAAGTTCTGCCTGGCCATGAAGGGGGACTCCGACACAAAGTTTTGTGTCAAGTGTAAGAACTGTATCTGTATCAAGTCGAGCAGACAATGCGACAATGATTCAGATGCAGAGGAGGACTTCTCTACTGCCAAGTATACAAAGAAGTCACAATTGCACCTGGCAAGTGATTCGGAAGTACTTGACAGCTGGCAGAGGATGGAACAACGATTTCTTTCCGAGACACCGAAAGTGTTTGCACAGTGGGAGCAGGCGACAGGGTTCTCGTTTTCTCGCGAAGCTTTGTTGGGTTCTACGAGGCTCAGACCTTTTTTGGAACCGGTGAGCTGTTACATGCACGACTGGATGCATGGAGTTGTGGCGAACGGAGCTTTGAACATCGTCGGCTACCTTTTCCTTCAAGCAATGCAAGAGCAAGGTCTTCAGAGTTGGTCTTCTTTTCGGGACTACCTCGGCTTCTGGGTGTTGCCTGCAGCTACCAAAAAAGCATGCCCGGATCTCCCTAGTTTGTTTGACAGCAAGCGGGTGGATGCATGCAAGAAGAGTAGCAAACTGAAAATGCAAGCTTCTGAGCTGTTGTGCATCGGGCCCATCTTGTCCCACTTCGCATCGACTGCATGTGCTGGGGCCGCAGATCAAAGGCCTTGCAAGGCATTGGTTGCCATGGTTTTTTTCTTGGAACTGTTGACATCTGTGGTTCATGGATGTGTGCGAGGAAAAGAGTTGGGCAAAGCAGCTGAGCGAGTCCTTCAGCTGGTCGTGGAAAACGACTGGGAAGCTTGGATGGTCAAGAAATTCCACTGGATGCTTCATTATGGAGACAGTTTGCAGCTGCACAATTGTCTCATTCCATGCTTTGCTATGGAACGAAAACACAAGCAGTTGACGAAAATTGGAACTCCTATAAAGAACATGAGAGCCTATGAACGGGCAGTGCTGGAAGAGGTCGTTTCCGGTCAGCTCTTCAAATTGAAGCAACCGGGCCGTTTCGACATGTCGTGCAGGCTGCTTTCTCAAAGTTGCAAGGCCACTCGGGCCATGCAGGAACTTCTGGCCCAGCATGGTGTGACGATGGGCCAAGTCACCATCTGCAGAACCTTGAAGCTTGCTGGGGGCGGATCTGTTTCAACTGGTGATGTTGTGTTGCTGAAGATGCAGTCGGCCCTGGCTTGTGGCATTTTGCTGGCCAACTTTGGCAACGGCCAGCCTCACAGCATTCTTAAGTTCTTGGATTTCCAGAAGACTTTGGCTGATGCTGCTGAGTGGAAGGAGGCACATGACAATCAAGCACATGTGGTTAGCAGCTTTGGAATACTGTGTGCTGTGAGTTATTTCAAGTCCTCTGATGTGTATCGGACTTTGCTGCCGTACCATGCTCGCAACCTTCTGGCAAGAGGGTCCTGAAAAAAGAGCGTTTGCTTAAAACCGAACACTTCTATTCTAAAATCTTGGTTGTTGCCAAAGGAAATTCACGAGGCCGATAGTACCTGCCATGCAGCCTTTGCAGGCTTGGCATGGAGGCTTTTCAGAACTCTAAACCAGCATAAACTTATCAACCAGAAATTAGAAGCCTCTATAGGCTCGTGTCGCAGTTAAAACCCTAAGCCCCTAAACCCTAAACTTTGAGCCTTTACAGGCTTCTGTTGCACAAAGCCTTTGCAGGCTGTCTACGAACTTAAAAAACCCTAAACCCCTAAACCCTAAACCTTAAAGCCTTTACAGGCTTCTGTTGCACAAAGCCTTTACAGGCTGTTTGCGAGCTTTGGGTTCGAGGATTTTTGATGGGCGCAAAAAATTTTAGCTTTAAAGTTGTGTGAAAACTGTTTGGGTTTCGTGTTTCTGCGAGCCATGTAGCTGCAGGTACGAAAGATTATGCAGGCAGGCATACTTCCGGACTCATGTCATGCAACTTCGTTTCAACTACACCAGAACGGTTTCCGATGATGGAAATGCAGTTACACTCCAAGTTGAAAGCATGCTAAAAGACCCGATCGTCATGTGTGTCCAAGCATTTTATATGCTCAGTTTGGGTGAGCCACTTTCATCCTGTCACATGTGGCCTATGTCTAGCAGTCCATGTTGTTGATGTCGTGCCTCTGGTTTTCCTAACGAAGCAATGCCTTGTTCGTTTGACCCAATTCATGTTCCTGATAGATGCATGTCGAAGAATTGGTGACACAATCCTCCTGTGGATGGTAAACACTTTCAGTGGGTTCATGATGGTGTCTTGTTTTGGTGTGCTTCCGAGCTTAAACATGATGTCGTTTTTCCAAAATGCAAACGACACAGTGGCCTTTTTGAAACATATCGCCCTGCAGATATTGAAAATTAAAGTTTCTTAAAGCAGCTGTTCAATGCATGTAAAAACACTTATAGGTTTTAGCTAAATGGGTTAGTAAATCATTGCCAAGCCGTTAACAAACATTTAACTAAGTGGTTATTAACTCGCTAATAACTACCGTTTATAAGTGAGGTAATCGGTTATAACCTAGTTGGTAATGTGGATAAAAGGCATAAGTTGTTAGTAAGCCGCCATCCCATTCAAGCTGGTTGGGATGGTGGGCTTGTAAGCTGCTAGCGTTCTTTTAGAGAAAGCGGGGGGATATTGTGGGCTGGTGTACACACGACTTGCTTTCCCAAGTTCGAAACGTTTCAGAAATGCCTAATCCATCAAATGCAACAAGGCACAGCACTATATGCGACCCCTGGACCCCCAAAACCATCATAAACGCGGAAACCACAACCCGGGCTTTGCACTTTGCACAGTCTCTCCTTTTCCTTCAGATCATCTTGTGCCACAGTCGAAGCGTGCACTCTTGACGGAGAAGCCGCCTGCGCAGAGTAAATTGAAGTATCAAGAACAAGCATCACGACTCCCGGCAAAGGCCGCACGAAGCGAGTGATATTGAACAACTGCAGTCCGAACGGAGGAAGTGCATAGAAGCATCATATTTGACTTCAGGATGGCGCAGGAGGGCATCAGTAGTCAGAGTCACACGCTTCAACACTGTCACACGGATGACATCATCAGCACCCGCCGTCGTCATCTGGAAACTGACTGTCATCACCGCAGCAAAGTTGCTGCACGCTGTATGCTTGTCAGTTGTTAGCAGCAAAGTACACAACCCACGATGGGCCCGAATCGGTTTTCGTAGTTACAATATTGCCTTGTTGATCCGATCCGATGCTACCAGCGTGGGCAGCTGAGTCTGACACTGTGCCCTTGAGAGCCTTGCTACAGGCCACGGCAAGGAGAGCTGTCTAGACCGTACTCCAAATTGGATGCGTCCCGCAATAAATTGCTTACACCGTCGATGTGACCTCTTGACTTCACTTCCGCGGTGTATCCAGAAACGATGCTGTCGCGAAGCTTGAAATTTCCAACGCTTGGTTCACTTCAGCTGAGGCACACAGAAACTTCTCGAAGATGCCTTTCTTTTTCTTTGTGCTGTGTGCGAAGTGCGCCAATGACACCGTTCCTGAGAAGAACGCTAGAGACATGCGTTGCCGGCAAAGCAATAGAAACTGTCTGTTCAGTTCACCCATTGAGCGTCGGGCACCCCACCAGGCACCCTCCCAGCAAGTCGGACACCCCGTCGGGTAGTTGTCAACATGAACGTCAGTAATGGCTTCTCATCAGCTGCACCCAGCGCAACAAAACACCCACAACTAGTTGAGGCTTCGGAGCTAGGCGGTCTCGACCAAATCTCGGCCGTGTCTCTGCCAGGCCCACTGCGTACAGCATGCCACCAGTAAAGCCTCAGCATGCAACTCCAAGTTTACTTAAAGACGTGCAATGTTCCTTTGACGCACATAGGCCGGTATCATGCACAAATTATACATGTGGTCTTGAGGATATCCCTGTCAAATTCTTTCTTTGCATCGGAACAGCAATCATATGAATCCGTCTTACGCCGCCAAAGAGAGTTGCTAAAGCCATGGGGGATAACAACCGTAACAATCAGACGCATAATGATGGGTAAGGTCTATGTTCCGCCACCGTGGTGATGTCATGGGTACCCGAAACCGTTCTGTTTAGAGTTTAGGATTTAGGGTTTAGAGGGTTTAGGGACCTCGTAGCACTACATAGGTCAAAGTTCTAGAAGAAGAGTTTGAAGGTTGAGGGCTAAGCAACTTGCTGAACTCATTAGAAAGCAATTTACATAGCTTAGGTAGTGGCTTTGTACAGGTTTTTCATCGGCTTCTGCAGGATTTGCTGGGCCCAGTCTCAAATTCGCACACTAAAACCTCACATGTTGGTGCCTTTATCATCAAGATGAGGTGTCGGATAGTATATTCTATTATTGAAATGCAGTAGCCCCTTCTCCACTGAGCAGGTCCAGCGCACGCTTTATGGAAGCATGCACCATAGAAGAGGCCCGTAGGCGAACAGCAAACATCACTCCGCAGGTTTGTGGGCGGCATCAGCACTTGGGTTTCCTTCTTGTTCCGGCTTTTTTGCAAGAGTCAAGCTGGTTCGGGATTCAACGAAGTCCGGAACGACCGACGACATCGATACCAGTTGCTCCAGTTGCCCTGGAGACGACGAACAGCTGCTGTAGGACGTTTTGCAGAAAACCCACTCATGCCCGGAAGAAGCTGTGAACAGTTGCCATTGAAGAGGAAGCGAAGCCAGCACATCACTGCTCACCACGTGACTACACGAAAATTCGTTGAAGCGAAACTTCGCAGACTGCTGGGTAGTTGGGTGCCCTCCAGGCTTTGGTTGAAATGCCCACCAAACCTCAAACTCTTCAGGCTGTTGGGTAGTTGGATGCCCTCCAAGCTCTGGTTGAACTCAAATCCGAACGTCAAACTCTGCAGGCTGCTGGGTAGTTGGATGCCCTCCAGGCTTTGGTTGAACTCAAATCCGAACGTCAAACTCTGCAGGCTGCTGGGTAGTTGAATGCCCTCCAGGCTCTGGTTGAACCTAAATCCGAACGTCAAGCTCTGCAGTCTGCACGGTAGCTGGACGCCCTCCAAGCTCTGGTCGAATCTATCACCAAATGTCAAACTCTGCAGGCTGCTGGGTAATTGGGTGCCCTCCAAGCTGTGGTTAAAATAGCGACCAAACGTCAAACTCTGCAGGCTGCTGGGTAGTTGGGTGCCCTCCAGGGTTTGATTGAAGTTAGTACCAAACGTCAAACTCTGCAGGCTGCTGGGTAGTTGGGTGCCCTCCAGGCTCCAGTTGAAATGTCGACCAAGTGTCAAACTCTGCAGGCTGCTGGGTAGTTGGATGCCCTCCAGGCTTCGGTTGAAATTGTCACCAAACGTCAAACTCTGCAGGCTGCTGGGTACTTGTACGCCCTCCAGGCTTTGGTTGAAATCATCACCAAACGTCAAACTCTGCAGGTTGTTGGGTAGTTGGGTGCCCTCCAGGGTTTGATTGAAGTTAGTACCAAACGTCAAACTCTGCAGGCTGCTGGGTAGTTGGATGCCCTCCAAGCTGTGGTTAAAAAAGCGACCAAACGTCAAACTCTGCAGGCTGCTGGGTAGTTGGGTGCCCTCCAGGGTTTGATTGAAGCAGTCACCAAACGTGAAACTCTGCAGGCTGCTGGGTAGTTGGGTGCCCTCCAGGCTTTGGTTGAAATTGTCACCAAACGTCAAGCTCTGCAGGCTGTTGGGTAGTTGGATGCCCTCCAGGCTTCGGTTGAAATTGTCACCAAACGTCAAACTCTGCAGGCTGTTGGGTAGTTGGATGCCCTTCAAGCTGCGGTTAAAATAGCGATCAAGCGTCAAACTCTGCAGGCTGCTGGGTAGTTGGGTGCCCTCCAGGCTTTGGTTGAAATTGTCACCAAACCTCAAACTCTGCAGGCTGCTGGGTAGTTGTACGCCCTTCAGGCTTCGGTTGAAATCATCACCAAACGTCAATCTCTGCAGTCTGCACGGTAGCTGGACGCCCTGGTGGAGGTGTTGGTTGGAATACCACGTTAGCGACATCGTTTCGTTCAGGGCACCAACATCAGACAGAGTTCTCTCTTCGAGTAGGCGCTCCCAGAGCATCGCAACACGACCCGCGCCAAGCTTCCGCACCACTACCAGATCTCGTCGTGCTGGACTTGATGCAGGAGCAGCTGCTGCTGATCGATGACACAACCACCGGATGTCAGGACAAGCAAACCTGCCGGGTGGCCAACTCCGGCTGCGATGCGCTCCGCCAATTCCCACCCCGTTTCAGCAAAGTTGATCTCCAGCTCAAAGCTGGAACCTGCCAGGCAATGAACGCTCACAGTCCGCGTGGCCCTGTCCGGACCGGCCGCTGCACGCTGCGGGACGCTCAAAACCTGTTTCATTGTGCCTTCGGACGGATGCAAGAGGCCATTGCGTTGGCGGCACTTCCCTGAGACGCTGAGACGAAGCTCTGTAATTCCAAGTTTAAGGTGTGAGACTACTACTACTACTACTACTACTACTACTACTACTACTACTACTACTACTACTACTACTACTACTACTACTACTACACTACTACTTCTACTACTACTACTACTACTACCACTACTACTACTACTACTACTACTACCACTTACTACTTACTACTACTACTACTACTACTACTACTACTACTACTACTACTACTACCACTACTACTACTACTACTACTACTACTACTACTACTACTACTACTACTACTACTACTACTACTACTACTACTACTACTACTACTACTACTGCTACTGCTACTGCTACTGCTACTGCTACTGCTACTGCTACTGCTACTGCCACTGCTACTCCTACTCCTACTACTACTACTACTACTCCTACTACTACTACTACTACTACTACTACTACTACTACTACTACTACTACTACCACTACCACTACCACCACCGCAATAAGGAGCCACAGGAATGGCATGTCAATGATTTAGCTGTCTGTATGGGTAGTTCTCCCAACTAGGGCCCTAACTTAGAGAACTCCCCATATGATGTGGTTAAACCATACACCCTAAACCCCTGCTTTGGTATCATGGGCCCCTTGGGTAGTTGAGACCTGGGCGATGTACCCCGAAGGGTCCATGCAACTAGCCGAAGGGGATTCCTTTAAGGAATCCTTTCAGGGTCCATGTACCCAAAAAGTATATACTGTGACACTCTTAAAGCGCAAACGGAATATTACCTTGAATTAATGCATCCAAATAGTATATACTTAAAGTAGTTTCCACGAAGTAGTCCCTATATAGGTACTCTGGGGCCACAGTAGGTATTATTTGGTTACATGGACCCTTTTACTTATACCCCAAGCCCTTATAGAACCCTTGTAGGAGCCCTTACAGTAGAAGCCAGAAAGTTGGAATATCATTATCGTAGCCCCCTAAAGGTAAATTATAGGGGATCCTACCATTAATCCATATTCCAACTTTTTGGAGTTCCCTTTAAAGGAGACCAGCCCAAGGAGCGGCACATAGAGCCACCGTCCGGCTCGGACCCGGCAACGCCGCGGCACGGCGAAACGAAAGTAAGGATAGTCCTGGTCAAGAGAATCGAAACCAAGGGTTTAGGGTTTAGGAGTTTAGGGTATAGGTTTAGGGTTTAGGAACCAACTAGCCGCAGAAACGAAAGTGCAACCATCAAGCAACCTAGAAATACTGTTGATGGACAAAATCCTGCATGACCCTAAGGACTCTAAACTATGGGAACTATGGTATATTCCTTATATTGGGTAATGCAGGATTTTGTCCATCAACAGTAGCATGCCACATGTGGCTCCTCGAAGACGGTAGGAGACCTTTGCTTGTGGCTCATGGTGAATACTTAAAGGATCATGGGACTTAGTAACTAGGGTTCCTTAAAGGGCTCCTTAAAAGGGATCTATAGGGGCTCTATTATAAGAAGGGTACTTAAAGGGTCATGGGACTTAGTAACTAGGGTTATTACTAGGGTAACTATACTTATAACCCCAATTAGGGTACTTATAACCTTACTTACTAAGTCCCATGATCCTTCAAGTAGGCACCGCTTGTTGATGGTGGAACTCACTCGTACTGGGCGTTGTGCTGCCAAGAAACTCGACGTTGATCGGAGATGCATTTCCGTGCTCGTTGTTGCTGCCGTACAGCCTTGGCTTTGTATGTGCAGGTGCATGAGACAAGAACAAACTACAAATAGTTAAATATGCACGGCAGGTTACAGTTGTGCGGCTTGGAATGGGTCGTAGAGCCAAAAGTCCTTCATCCCATCCAACACCTCGCGACACGACCACAAAGATCGCACAGGTATCGTGCGAGTCCTTCGGCCGATGCGCGCCTGCACAAAATTGTCAGCAGCATCATAGTGCAGGTAGAGGGAGGGACCTTTCACGCACGAGCAACACACGTCCAAACAGGTCGGCAGATGACTCTCAAAGCATGACAAGTGAGATATGACCTGGCTCGCCGCCACCATCGTGGTAGTAGAGGTAGGGGGACGCATCAAGGCTGCCCCGAGTACCATTCCTTGTGTGAGAGTCAATTGACAGTAACACGTGCCATCCTGGTCTGGACGGGCTGCTGTACATGTGTCGTCTTAAACGCTGACTCTGCAGTGGCGGCCTTGAGGCAGCATGCTTTGAATTTCAGTCTAGGGACAAGCATGGCCTAGCTGCCCCAATCATGGCAAAACAGAACTGTCAGGCGTCTGCCAAGCTTCTGCCAGTTCCCCCTGAGCGACGGCACAAAAGTCATGGAGACGGAAAGACATGTGTACCACATAGTACTTCCGAGAGAGCTGCAACGCAGCACAGATTGCTCAAGCTCTACGAGCTACGAAGGGCAGCAGCCCACATTGTTTTGCATCACATGTCGTTTGTCTCAGACAGCTGCGTGCAACTGATTGTGGGTCCGAGGGCAGCGCCGTCAGTGATGAGACTCCTCCCAGCTCCGGCAGTGAATTCGGGATGCTCACCTGAAATGAAGAAGATTGAACATAAGTCGAAGAGCAGGTAGTATTGTATTCTGAGTCCCGCTTCTGTTTCTGCTTTTCCTTGTAAACGCCAAAGAGACACGGAAAAAGCGAACCCAGTCTGGCAACAAAGAAGCAACAATCGGCACACCCCACCCAAGCCAGTCGCTGGGCCTCTTTGTTTCTTGAAGAAGAACGAGCAGTGGACCCATGCAAATTCAAACACAAAGTACGATTTCGCTCCACAATTGAAGTCCAAAGTAGCGCCATTGCCGAAGCCGAGCCCTAAAACCGACAGTAGTATGATCATTGCTACTGTTGTTTCTTGCTACTCATATTAACTCGCCATTGCTACTATTACTGATTTGTTGATTTTGTACCAGTACTAATTACTGTTATCATTACCGTGATTGTTTTTTTATCAACTGGTTCTATTACTCTCACTCCCAAACCAAGACCCCGGCAACTCCGGAGTCGCCCAGTCCCACCTGAGCGGCATAGAAGTGTCGCGCCAAGGGCCCTCCCGACAGCGCTTCTGCCAGCGTGGCGTTCTGTTTTACCGCCTTCTTGGGGACTTGGCCAGCTGGTACCGGCAGTATGGGAGCTTTGATTTAGTGAGCGAAATAGTTCTTTTAGGGGCCCAGTATACGATTAACACTACACAGGGACGATTCGGCAATACTCTTCGTAACTGTTCCCTCACGATTGCAACTTGTGCCTGAGGTTGAAGCACGGTAACCCTTCGCTGAATTTGGATGCTCTTGTTGTCCCCGCCACTGTTCGCATTAACTCGAACCTTATCGCTCAGTAGTGGCAGTATTGGTCCTGGTAGTGGTGGGGGTAGTAGTGGTAGTAGTGTTGCTTCCGAGGAGCATGACTGGGTCGGCATCAGGGAAAAAGTGGTATTCGAAGCTGCGCGGTACTGTTGTCTTCTCTTATTGCCAAAGCCCAAGATCCAAACGGTCAAGCCGAGATTGTGATTGCTTCAACAAGCTGTGTTGCATTAGCAATGTATTCCTCTGTCATCCCTGGGGGATGATACAAGTATATAGCATAATGCAGCGGCCTAGAAACCTTTGAATGACGCTCCCACGCTCTACCTCACAGCCTCATGCTAACACTTGCCGCCCACCTTGAGACATCTGCCTGCCGAGCAAATCTGGGTTTAGGGACTGAGGGCGAACGGCACATTGCGTTTGCCGACGTTTTGCACGGACAGGATATGATGGCCTCAATCTTCCGAGCAAACCGTGTTGCTTCAAGTGGCGGTGCATCGACAACTGTAACAGTGCTCGTGGCTGCTCGCGCAGTTCCTTGTGAGTCAAGAAAACAATCTTTCCGCGCTGCCAAAGCGCAAGCGCACCCTGCAGCGTATTCAACCCTAGACCCCGTCCTCAGCTCCACCGTGCGATGTCCCAGAGTTCGCAGCTTGTCATCAGATAGCCTTCGCAGCCAGCAGTGCTAAGGCTGTACCCAACAAATCATAGCCACGGCACCCGCCGACAAATGACCAGGATCACGAGACTTATGCTGCTCTGCACCACTGGGTGGGTAGACAAACCCTTTCCTACCAAAGGGATCTTGGAGTCCAACGCCGAAAATCCACGTCCCACGCCAACTTCAATTTCAGGTCTGGACTATGAACAGCATGAATGTAATGCTGCATCTTAACTTCTGTTTGCAGGATGTTGGTTTCGTCTAAGCACGACTGCTAAAAACCTCCCCATGTCAAAGGTTTAGATTGGGCTGATGCTCGTGATGCTGGCATCTGCCCTGCCCTAATCGCATCAGAACAAACAACCGAACAATAAACAGACTAGCAGTTGCTCTGTGTTGCAATAGCATGGTGGCCGAACGACATAGACTTGGAAACATGATGGCAGAAGCAGTAACAATGCTCTCTGAAGGCTGGTCAGCATTGTGTCAAATTCGTTTGAAACATATCTCCGGCTCCGTATGTGCAAGACAGACCCACCATTCGAAGTATACAATATGACGTGATGACCTTCCCTGGACCCTGAACCCTGATACGAAGAAGCCAAATCTCTTGCTCCGAAGGCCCTACAGAGCGCTTTACAAGCCAAGTATAGAGCTCTGAATGTGTAGCTACTTAATCCCCTCCAAGTCCCTAACTATACAGCTGTGCTGCAACATACCCCAAAATTCTGTTCGAAGCAGTAAGGCCCCGATGTTTCAAAACAACCAAATCACTTAGAACTGTCGCCGGGTCGCTGGGGCATCACATGTGGTGGAACTTCGGTCAGGCGAAATGGCACGTTACGCCAAAGATGCTCGGCCAATGCAGACTGGGCTGCCTCGCGGTGCAAGAAGAGGGCTGCAAGAAACTGGCTTAGGGGTCTTAAATGGCTGAGGGGTTCGGGGCTTAGGGTCTAGGGCTCGGGCCGGGTAACGTTTCGACCATCGCAGAAACGCCATCCTCATAAAGTCTTTGCTGCTTGCGTGCGCGATGCAGGTGAGCCATACCTTCCAGTGACAGCGGGAAGGGATGCGGAGTGTTTTGAAACGTTGTCACCACTGGACCCAACGCTAGGCAAGGTCTAGCTGTCTTGCTAGAACAGGGTTTTTCGCGACATAACGGACATTCCGCCCCTAATGCTCCAGACCCGAAGCCCTGAACTTGAAGGCTAGCCCAACCGAACTTCAGACCCGAAGCCCTCGAGGAAAGGTCCTCCAAAGGCCACCGGCTTTGCTCAGTATCAGCAAAGACCAACGATACGTGCTTAGGATGTAAAGATTTCTTGGGTTTGAGCTTGGGTCCAAAGTTTCGGGGTTAGGATCAGGATGATAGCAAGCATGATGGGAGAACTGGCAACGAACACGTCAAGCCAGGTCGCTGCAGCGTGCGCACGTCGCAGTCATCTTCGGCAGTCGTCTGCCTGCATTGCGCACAAAAGATGCGCAAGTTTTGGGTTTAGGGCCACGCAACAAGATACGGTGGCAAAATCGAAACCACAGCAAATGTAGACTGCAAAAGCCAAGAGAGTTCAACTAGGTTTTGAGGAGTTCTATACTACACTGATTATGTTATGGAGCCTAGCCCTATAGGCCCTGTAGATATGGAAGAGTAGTGCTTATCATTGAGGCCCCTGTAGTACGCACCTGAGGAGGAGCGCTACACAGATGGCGGCGGCAGCCGCAGCAAAGGCCGTGGCGAAATGCCAACGATGCATGGCACACGCCGACCGGCTCGTACATCTACTGATGCAAGACAGCTGCTGATTAGTGCACCTACAGTACCGTCTACAGGCCCACGCAAATTCAGGAGCCGAGAGAGTCTCCCAGAGGAGGGGAATATTGCTGAAGCCTGAAAGCTGAAGGGGACGTAGCTTCGGTACCTGTTGGTACACTTCTTGTTGAAGGTGGCCTGGGTTTAGGCTGCATTTCGGGGTTGCTTCGAGCTGGCACCCTTTCTTTAAATATTCGCGGTTAAGAAATGCAGGTCGCAGGAAGACAACGTTTCCATGAGCAAAGATAGCCACAAAACTGGAATCCTGTAATGTCTATAGGAGGAGCTCCAACCCAATAATAGTTATAGCAATAAGAATACGTTGTAGAATAATAAGAACTATAATCATAGTCATAGTAATAATAACAATAATAAAGATAATGAACATAAAAATAGTAATAGTAGTGGAGCTCCCCACCCACGTTACTGCACCACACAGTCTTCTGCTCCGGGCGAAATGATTCATCTGAAGTCTTCCAGAGCATGCGGCAGCTGCAGTCCAAGGCTTCAGAAGCCCATAGAAGACCCTTCTGAAACCCTATATGCATTCATATTATAACTTGGGCCCCAGGCCATGCTGTCGCCGTGCGACCTCTTCAACAGGCAATGTTGGCAAAAGGCGAGGTACTGGAGTCTGGCAGGCTCTGAAGCCACTTGGTACCACTATCAGATCCTGCATGCCCTCGAGCAAGACCCTGTAAGCCCCAAGCCCAGTTCTGTGATCCCCAGGCCTTGAACCCCGACCCAGAGATCCCTGCCCTTGGCAGACCACTTTTGGCCTCGTCTGCGAGCTGAAGGCCTCGATGCGCTGAGGCCTGGGGCTCTGAGCTCAGGAGGGGGTGCCTTCGCCGAAAGCGCCGATGAGATATAAGAGGCTACTAGTACAGTGGGAGTACCAGAATCAGAAAGGGAACCCGACGTTCGCGCAGCCGGTAAAGATGGAGGGAAAGTGAAGGGAATGACGGGCACAGTCCGGAATTGCCGGGCTGATCTAGAACGCAGCCGCATTTACAGCGAAAACACGTCAAGAGCTCCAGCCTCAGTCAAGAGAGAGAGCCGGAGAGAGAGAGAGACAGCGGTCGAGCGACAAGAAAAGAGTGCCAGACAAACAATCGAAAGGACCGTCACGTAGATCACCGATATATCCATCTACATATATATATATATAATGCGCACATTCATTCATACAATTGTTTGGCAGAGCTTGCGAATATAATATGCATGGATACAGGCATCGATTGATAATACGGGAACACGTGAGAAAGTAGATCAGCAAGTAGCAAGCGCATCCAAGAGCTATACAGACATAACTGCCTACAACTAAGCTTACAGGAGCTAGCACTGAGATGCGAACTCCTCGTTGTTGATGGCTTGGTCGATGCGCTGCTTCTTCGGCCTTTAGATTTACGAGCGGCGAAAGCCTTGAGATGCCCCTTTCAATCACATGAACTCTGACTCGAGCTTTAGTTCGGGTAGGGTGGAAGCATACCAGGTGAAACGCTGGACTTCCATAATACAGAGATGGCCCTCTACTAGCGACGCGTCTAAGAAAGAGCACATGTTCAGTTCGCTCTTTAGGAAAAAAACCGCTGTCAGCTTCTCTTGTTTGACCCACTTTTCTGAGTGTCCAGGTCTAGTTCCCAACCATCCCACCGGTTCGACGAAAGGGGGTGTGGGAAGGCTGCGAGACGCAACGAATGATCATGCTCGTGCTACCATGACCGCAATGTCTGTCCGAGTCATCCTGCTGATGGTCATGGTTCTAGGCAAGTACAACGTACCGGTTGTTCTCATGACAACTCTTTCCTTCTTTGTGGCCACTGTGCCAAAACCCTGGTAAAATTGAGTCGCTAATGCAAGCACCCCACATCGCGTGAAATCTTAGGCACCGGCTGAAAGAGTTGCACGTTCCTGAGATTCGTGTCTGCTAGCATGGAAAGCCAAGGTGCTTTCGGAGTTACAGTTTCCACCTACACGGCCTTGTCTTCAATGCAGTTAGCTAACATTTGGAGTCATCTGGCTGCCGATAGTTTTGCTTTCGTATGGACAGGTTCACGCATGCTTGAAACCGACGTTTGGCGTGTTTTCAGAGCCCCTGCCATGAACAAAGTTCGAGCGTTGGGGCCTACGGATGTCAACACACCAGAAACTTGCCATGTGAACTGCAACCTTCTGTACTGATCTGTACTGTGGTGCAGGAAAGCCTGAAGCAGGTACGGGCCATGGATCCGCGCCAATGCAAACTCGCTGGAGTAGCCCGTCAACTTCTGGAGCGACTGACCTCAAGTGAGCCAAGACATGCTGAGGACGAGTTTGCCCGCAGAAGCACACCGAACTCCGAACCAACCCCAATCCCAACCCCGACTCTATGGAGCTCTGTTTCTCTACACCGACTATATGGCTACAGCTGAGGCCGCTACTTATGAACACAAGTGGGAGACCCATCTTGCGGTCTGTCGAAGTGTCCTCCACCCAAGAGGAAGCGTCCGCCACCCAACAAAGCAGTCCATCCTCCTGGCTGGGGCTCCAGTCTCCAGCGGGGAGGAGTGTTTGCGTACTTTTGGCTTCAAGGTGCACGGCCAAATGGGCCACGATTCGATAAACTGGCTTCGATACGATGGAAGAGGTGGTTTGAAAAGATGGATTCGATCTCATCGCGAAACCATCCTCAAGCCCTTCACCTACTGAGGATGAGGATTGTTGGAGGGTCTGTGAGCACTGCTCATCCTCATCGTTGATGCTCTGCTCCACCAAATTCCTCCCGGTGGGCTCGGGATTGAGCTTGAAAAGGGTCCTTGGATCGGCTGCGCATGGCAATCCTACACGTAAACTTTTAAAAGGCATAAAACCTAGAACCATCGAAAGAAGACTCTGATGACTCTGATACCGGATACAGTTCCAAGCTTCTTGGCCAAGCGTGACCAGCTGCCTTGGAAGTCCCGGACTGCCGCGAGGCCAATTCGCGCCACGAAATGCCAGCCAACCATGCCTTATTTTGATATACATATATATATATATATATATATATATATATATATACAATAGGCACATATACATGTGTGTATGTATATATATATATATATATATATATATATACATATATATATATATATATATATATATATATATATTACACGCATCATCTGGCATGAAGCAATCATCGTGTGATCGACAAGAAAAGAAAGAGCGACAAATAGCTTCACTACGATCTGCCATGTTATTGTGTGTGTAGCCGCTAATGCCATCACCGCCAGCTTGTTACAGTTCAATTTATCAGCTGTGACCGCCATCGTGATCGCCGTAGCAGTAGCAGCCAGCACCGCATGGGTCAAGTCCCAAACGTGTTGGGTGCGGCTTGGACTGCAACGGGGACTCTGTGCAGAACAGGCGGCAGCTTGGAACACCCTGGCCATTCTTCAGCAGCCATTCCTTGATGAGCAGGCAGATAGATGATTCGGGCCCCTGTAATGACACCATTATCCCAAACAAAGGGGGGCCGGCTTGTCGATATCCCAAACACTCATGAATCAAAGACTCTCGATGTCAGAATCCTCACAAGCCTTCAGCCGCCAATCCCACTCAATGCAACGGGAACCCAGACCAAAGGAGCTTGCTTAGCAGGGTCCATTGAGAATTCGCTGTCCCTGTAGGCTGGGGTCGTCTTCATGAAGCCATGGAGCAGGGACCACAGTGTCCAAAGTTGAGATCGCCTCACGCTCCTTCAACGCCACATTGTGAGACCTCCAAAGTTCTCAGATGCTCTCAACAGCGGAAAGCCCTAGAGGGCCCCTGTCTTCGTCTGCAGCGCAAGGCCATCGAAATTAGAAGCTACTGGCAGGTTTCACCAGGTCATCCCTACGCGCCATCGCGCAAGTGGGTTTTGCTAGCCCTGGCAGCAAATTTCTTCCACTTTCAACATACCCATGCTGTACTCTGCACACCTTCGGTCTTTAAAAGTCCCTCTGTCCCTTCAATGACACCGCCCCAAGATTTCGGACCTTGCCTTTTGAGGTCGACACCTCTCGCCCAGCTCGCACTCATCGTCGCTAGAATGTGCTTACTGCCCGCCCCAGAAACACTACACGCCTAAACGCCCCAAAGCTTTACACACCCCCAAAATTGCTAAATGTCAAGCCATGTTCCTGAAAGGCCTCTCCAGAAGCATCTTCCGAAGGTGGGCCCCAAGCTCTAGGTTCGTCTCAAGGGCGTCCATGGTCAGCAGATCCTGATCATCTCCCCCGGCAAAGTGGCACACACCTTATGAGGAATCCCGATGCCTGCAACGCTCTAGACACGATGCAGGAGGAAGCCGCTCACCCAGCCTGTCCTACGAGCCTGCACAGCCCCTCTATCCCGAAGACACCATCGGCTTTAGACGATCTTTGGAACCGATTCGGAGAGCGAGACCGTCCGAAGAGCTCCGGCAGAGCCCTGTACCCACCAAAAGACGTTCGGAAACCCTGGCCGAACGGGTATTACAGTACGGTAGGAACTGAGGAGCTTAGGCTACAGGATTCGCATCTCGGGATAACGGATGTGAAGTAGGACTGTTGTGCATGCGTACACCCACAGAGCCCTACAGCGACTGACCGAAGCCCCATATAAAAAAATCTGCCTCGTATCATCCCAAAACCTCTCTGAAGCCCATCCTCCAGCGCCGGCATCTGCGTATAGAGTGGGCGGACCACCACGAAAATGAAGTGCTTCACGCAGAAGTCCGCAGTCGGATCCAGGATGTTGGGATCCTGATACCACTCTGACTACACTTTCTCCCAGGAAATGAAACCACACCGGTCCCAGTCTCTTGCAACCTTGAGCTTTCGGGGTTAAACGGCTCAGCCACCCGGCCTGCACCCAGACATGCCTCAAGTAGAAGCAGCTCCAAACAGGGCTCTTGTTCTTCGGGACGAAGAGCCGCAGCAAGCTCAGCATGCGACAAGGGACATCCAGGTCCTTGGACCTCAGTCGAAGTGAATAGCTTGCTACCAGAGTGAAACAGCGAAATGGGTCTTCGGCTGTCCGGCTACTCATCGATCTTAACGAACAAAACGTGGTAGCCCGTGGCACAGCTTTCTCGTATGAACTACTTACACGAGCCTCCTTGCGAACGCGTGTAAACGGTACTGTATTGCCGTACTGCATAGCCGTACGAGTTGCATAGTCCCATGCAGCTGCACTCCCCATTGCCACCCCTTCCGCCACGATGCAATGCCACGGAACCCTCCCCTGCTCTCCCCGACGGCAAAGGGATCCAACCAGACCCCACACTTCACATCATTTCCATCTTCACAGACACCTTCCGACTCACCTCACCGAAGCTCGAAGCATTTACGCTCGAAACTTCATGACCTGAGCCTCGATCCCAACCCCTCAAAGCCGCTCACATCATGATACTTCTCGAGAACTTCGACATCCTACGAAGAGAGGTCTTGATCCCTACGCTAGAAGCCCGAAAGACTTGTTCACCGGAAGCCTGTCAGCACTGAACCATAGACCACTTTTTCAATCGCAGGGGCGGAGGAGGTTGCCCTACCCGCTTCCGCTTGGGGCTGCTGGAGCGCGGCGACCGATCGAGGAAGGCGCTTTCTTTGAAGTCCTTGCGAGCTTCAGGCTGTGACTGCGAGCAGAAGCTCTTGTAGTAGCCCTGGGAGTCGTTATCGTATTGGTGACGGTAATGGTGGTGGTAACAGCAGTTTACCACCGTCGTGACGTGCATGTCACGGTGGTGGTGGTGGTGGTGGTGGTGGTGGTGGTGGTGGTGGTGGTGGTGGTGGTGGTGGTGGTGGTGGTGGTGGTGGTGGTGACATTCCGGTGGCAGGTGGTCGTCGTCATCATCGCCATCATCAGCATCATCATCACCATCATCATCATCAGCAGCAATTGTCATCATGACCATGGTCAGTTTTACTTCCAAAATTCTGTGGTTACGACCAGTATTATGCTGCTAATGCTGGTATACACCTAATTAGCCTTCCTGCGTGCCGTTCGAGCACCAATTTACACAGCCATCGCCCCATTCGCACCGAGGAGAAGCCAAACTCTAAAAGCCCCAACACAAAGAACAAAGGCCCCAAAAGGCGTACTCTTGATTGGCCAAGAGTCCCAGCAGACGCGCGTGGTGGAGATTGCCGGCCTCAGGCTGTCCGGGACGAGCAAAGTGAATTCATGAATGTCTTGCGGTATAACCAGGACTCTGAGCTGAAGAGTAAGGACTACTCGAAGTCCGTGCCGGAGTCTTGCAGATAGGATTCGAGGCATGATCAGCAGAACATGTCGTCCCAACCCCCCCCCCATTCAAGCCAACACTGTGCATGCAGGTGGCGTAGTTGGTGCATCCTTGTTTTGGTTGCAGCAGAACTCGTCTATCCTCGCCATCTCCTGACAAATAGAAAGAGGTCCAAGCTTACCTTCTGGCGCCCTGAACTGACTCTATGCCTGCTCAAACCCTTCCATGAACACCACCTGCACCCGAAGTCGCGCGCACACACACACACACATACACACCGAAACTGCTACAGTCCAGGATTGAAGGTTCACCTCGGGCACGAGGACCGAGCAGCAATCCTGAACCCCGAAAACAAAAATCGCAACAGCCGGCCTGGCCGTTGAAGACCCGGTTTTGCAGAGCATCCGGGAGCAGCAGGAACCGGAAGTGCCGTCCCAAGGCCCAAGCTCGAAAGTAGCCAGTCAGATCCTCGAGACCTGCTTCAGACAGCTTTAAAACCCTACAGTAATCCCTAAGCCCTAACCTTTAGGTCTAGGGTTCCTTGTGAAATTTGAGGCTATATGATCTGGTCCACTGTTACTGGTGTATTTCGATTCAGGTGTCGGGCATCAGGCTTCAAGCCTGGACCTTGGCCGAGAACTCTTCTCATCACCGTCAGCAGATCCGACGATCGTCCTACTTACCATCATCATCATCGCCAGCATCACCCTGACCATCACCATAGCACGAACGGTTTCATCAGTAGCTCCCGCGTGAAGCTGACATTCGCAGCCGCGAGGCAAGCATCAGAATCACCGCATGTTACGTTCCGTCGCCTCATTGCGCTTGTGGGCCAATTATAACTAAAGAATAAGAAACAACACTTACAAATAGTAGCTAAGAATAACAAATAACAGCAAACAAGTAACAAGAGTAACAATATAAATGCCGCTTCACAATATGCTACAATCTCCCGGAGAGACTACCACGCACGAAAGACCCGATCTTGCCGCTGTGAAGTTGTTGCTTCCTCCTGAGTTTAGTATTCCTCCCCTTCTTGCTCCTGGACAACTGTTGCAAGCTCCAGGATCAAACACGTCGCTTTAAGGTTGCTGTTGTAGTACGGTTGATGATATAAATCCTGCATTACCCATCATAGGGAATATACCATAATTCTATAGTTTAGGGTCCTTATTAAGGTAGTTCCTTATTAAGGTAGTGCAGGATTTATATCATCAACCGTATCACTATCGACACTATGTGGCCTTGCGACATGTAGGCGATGGGGCAGTCCACCTCGTCCGGATCCAAGATCCTTGCAGCCGGGATTGGCCCAAGTATCGGTGCCAGGCCACTGCGGTAATCAGATGTTGCATTATAGACATAGCGAAAGAAGGATGTATTCCTACCTACAAAACGCGAAATTGAAATTGAAATATACAAGTGTGTGTATTTATGTAAACGTGAGAGTGTGTGTGAGAGAGAGAGAGGCACAAACAGATCTTCGGGCATGATACGCCCTTCAGGATGCCTGGGCAACTAGCTACCCAGCGATTGTTACATGGGCCAGATGGGCATTGGTACCTCTGCTGCAGCGAGCCAAGATGCATGAACGGCACCTCGTAGAACTTGTCCTTTCGATGGTGCCGATCACCTGGATTGCGAGAAGCTGGACTCAAAGAGCCCACATGGCGCTCTGAGAATGTGACAACCTTTATGACACCGCTCCGCCGAGGCACCCCACTTCCACTGCATTACCAACTCCTCACTCTCCTTCTCCAAGACCTGCGTGCGATGACGATGACTACCGGGACTGGCTGCTAGAAGAGTTGGGGAGTTGGATGGGGCGGTGGCGACCCGACAAAAGAAGAACAACAGTAGCACGCGGCGGTGCAAGCAACAAGAAAAGACATGAACACAGTACCAGCAAGAGAAGACCGGAAGGAGGCGGAAAAAGAGGTTTAGTGGGCAGGTTGCCAGCGAGTTGATGCCGCAAGTTGGAACCTCCGCAGCTCCAACCAGCTTTGGTCGATTACATGAGTCTGCTGGTGCGTGCGTGGTCTTCAGCGTCAGGGATTGCCGTCGAACATGCACTGACTCAGCATCTAGTGAATGGGGGCAAGCTTTTTCTTGGACAGGGAACCAAATTAGGGTGTCGTGCTGGCTTTAGCCTTCATTCTAAAGCTTCCTCCGTCTGAAAGAGCAGTCGAGCAGCCTCCTCCCCGAACTTCAGCAGCTCGTACGGAAGCCTGGGCATGACTTCTTGAGGGTTTACGCTTCAGGAATCGCAACGAACTCGGATCCAGTACATCTGACTAAATGCGTCATTCACTTCGAAAAGCTCAGGTGGCTCGTGCTTCTCATCCCAAAGAAAGCATTTTATCATTACAAGGCTTTGTAAACCCTAAACTGCCCCAAATCCTCAAACCCTAACCCACATAAACCCCACGGCTTGCAACCCGAAACTCTGAAGCTCTACAGCCTGACCCCTATAAAGCATTGAATACGAACCCACCAAGCTCCAAACAGCCTTAAGCCGCCCAGCTGCGAAATCGCAGCACCGAAGCGAGGCACAAAGTGGATACCTTGCACTCTTGCACTCGAACCCATGATTGCAACCGTCACATAGCAATGATAAGACTAGGAAGGGTACTGGGTCACGAGGGCAAAACGAGCAGTGTTGGATGACTGATCAAATGCAGCTTATAGGGCTATTGCTGGTCAGTTTTCCGACCTCCGTATTAGGTTCAGCCCTAGGGATCATGCACAGGTCTGCCCAAAGCCGCTTCATGGGGCCTGGCTCAGGGTTCGGGGTTCAGGGTCGAGGGCTAGGGCTCCTACTATCTGATTCTTAGGTCGTGCTTTTGCTGCTAATGATCCTACCGATGCCCGGCGTGGCCTGAGAAGACGCTGTCACCGAGCACTCTCGCCAGGTTCCTGCCAGCAGTTCAGGTGTTCTTGACTTGGGACGGCCTTATGCGGCCTTATAGGACCTGTGATAAATCAAATGCACTGTGACTAATTCCCCCCGTTGCCGTCATTCCGGCAACTGCGACTGTTAAAGTTGTCGCTGCTCGCTTTTTCTGTGGATGCTGCTGTTGACGTTGTCGCTGTCGATGTCGTCGTCGTCGTCGTGGCCGGCGCCGTCGTCTCCATGATGATGGTAATTTTGCTGTTGCGGCTGTTGCAAGTGGTTGCTGCCACTGCTGCTGTTGCTGCTTATGTTGCTGTTGCCATTGCTGCTGCAGATGCTGTTGGTGTTGCTGTTGTTGTTGTTGTTGCGGGCTGTGGTTGAAATTGTGGCTGCAGCAGTCGCCGTGGAAGTCGTCGTCGTCGTCGTAGTAGTAGTAGTAGTAGTAGTAGTAGTAGTAGTAGTCGTCGTCGTCGTCGTAGTAGTAGTGGTAGTGGTAGTGGTAGTGGTAGGGGTAGTAGTAGTAGTAGTAGTAGTAGTAGTAGTAGTAGTAGTAGCAGTAGTAGTAGTAGTAGTAGTAGTAGTAGTAGTAGTAGTAGTAGTAGTAGTAGTAGTAGTAGTGGTAGTAGTAGTAGTAGTTGTTGTTGTCGTTGTTACCGTTGCTGTTGTTGTTGTTGTTGTTGTTGTTGTTGTTGTTGTTGTTGTTGTTGTTGTTGTTGTTGTTGTTGTTGTTGTTGTTGTTGTCGTTGTTACCGTTGTTGTTGTTGTTGTTGCTGTTGTTGTTGTTGTCGTTGTTGTTGTCGTTGTTGTTGTTGTTGCTGTTGTTATTGTTGCTGGTGTTATTGCTGCTGTTGCAGCTGCTGCTGTTGTTGCTGCTTCGTCTTATCGACCTCGCGGTCGTTGCTGTTGCTATTGCCGTTGCTTCTGCGATTTTCGTCGTCGCTGTAGTTGGGTGGTGCCTTCCTGCTCCGCTGCACGACTTGTGGCTATGTTTCCGGGCCTGCAGCGATTCTCCGCCACCTCCAGCACCCTCGGACGCCGCGCCCCAGCAGAGCCCTCGAAGAAGTCGAGGCTGAGAGTGGAGCCCGCCAACATCACCGGCCTGTGCACTTGACACTGCTTCTCGTGACACTCCCTAGGCCAAGTTACATATGCAATATGCAAGAATGCCATTGTTGATATGATGCAGTATTGCTACTGTCTTCCTTGACACTCATCGTTCTCATAGCTCTGAACTCTCTCTGCCACTGTGCTTACTGTTGCTCGAGTTGCTTGTGCCATTTTTGCTGCTCTTTCATTGCTACTTCGACAAAGTGTGGTGGTGCTGAGTGAGATGACGGTGCCCGCATTTTTTGACGACTGCTATCTTGGTAAGGATGATGATGCAGGTTGATCCTGATACTCAATCGAGCCATTGGACAAAAGAAGCGTGTGGAACCAAGAAGCAAGCCGAGACGGATCCTGGACTCAGGATTCATGTACTGTAGCCGGATGTACTGCCTGCTGATGGTTTCGTGGAATGAGCTTCCCGACTCGTTGACTTAGCATTCCAGAGAGTTTCAGAACGTCAACTGATCCGAGGAGGTAGCGTCATCATCCGAAACCTCCCAACCGCACGAACCTCGCACTCTCGTGTTTCGTGGCCCCACTCCCTTCTCCTCCATTTTCACGAAGTACTGTACACATCTAATCCTCCCAAGCCTCTCCAGAACTAGCGCTGCACCATAAAGTCTACTATGATTTGTCACAGCATGTACTCTAGTATGCCAAGTAATCAATGTACTACAATACATACTATACATATTCACACATATATACTGCAATATACTCCAGTGTCCGTTGAAGAGCCAGGCAGCTCTCTGGCACCCCAAAGGTCCGCCAAGTCGGGAAGCTCCGAGCAGATGGAGTCTGGCAAGGCGTTCGTCGCCGGAGGGCTTCGACGTTGATGGTTTGGGCCTTTCGGGGTTTAGGGTTTACAGGGTTTAGGGCTTTAGGGGCTTAGGGTTTGTAAGGTTTAGGGGATTTTGGCTTGGGGATGTAGTGCGCAACCTTCAAAAAAAGGCTGCGGACTTCGGGAATGGTGCGTTTGAGACAGGGCTGCCCTGCTTCCACTACCACGCAAGATGAAATGTCGGGCAGCCTCACACCTGCCCGTCTTGTCTAGAACTCACCGTAAGGCGCGTAATTAGTGTCTACACTCGTGAACCGTACGCCAACCCCCTTAAGCTCACATTCTGTTCACAGCTGGCGGACTTCATCATGATCTCCGTGCCTGAACTCAATTGCCGCGTCCACTGGGATTTCAACAGCCTCGGTGAAATCTTACAAGGCTTGGAGCTTTGGACAAACTCAGGAAACCGAAGCACGGCCTTCTCTCCCTCTCTCCCTGTCTCTGCCCTGCACGTCCCCTGAAACCCCTTAAAGCCCTAAGCCCTCAAACCCTAAGCCCTTGAACCCCTCAACCCTAAGCCCACCAGCCCAGGCTTTGCTGCTCAGGAGCTCGGTGGGGAGGATCGGCATCGTCTGCGGATTCATGGGGCCCACGTCTGACGCCCGCCTCCAGGCATTTCCCTGTACCGTTTTACGAAACTTCGAGTGGGGGCTGGTGGTAAATTATGCTGTCACAAGATCCTGCCCCAACTTCTTAAGCAAGGGGGAGGAACATACTACAAGTAATTATGGCCCGCTCCTCAGTTCTCGGGACAACCTGAACTGACACCTCCCGGCTCTCGATCCCCAAACTTCCAATTCCAGGGTTCCCTGACCTCCGTGTCGGACTCTTCGGAGACGTCGGTTGGCGGATAAGTTCCAGCGAGCCCTTCGCTGCAATGCAAGGGCAGAAGCACTTAACATCAAGTTCCGGGGGAGGTACAATTATATATGGGAGTTTCCGACAGTAGGGGACCCTAAATAGTAGGATCCTTATTATAAGGACCCCAGTATACGGTACCCCCATTTTCGGAAACTCCCTTATGGAGTTGCACAGAAACACTATTCTGACTGGTCAGGCTCACATTACCCTTCGCACTCGGGCACTGACGGAAAGGATAGCTATGGACGGCATTACATGGAGGTGGTGGGTTTGAGGCAGTCCTCCACATTGATGGCGTGTTGTGCCTCCTGCTGCTGCAACTCGGACAATTTGCTCCTGCTGGCCGAGTCTGAAGCTGCGTGCACTAATAAGAAAGGAGCAGCTTCAGGTTTCTATACTCGACGAGCTTACTGCTATTGCTGCCGTGGCATGCCAGAAGGACGAGAGTATCCCAAATGTATCCTCAAGCGGTTCATCAGCGAGTCCACATACGGGAGCAGTTCTGGAATAGGCCCAGGCCCAGGCGTAGAGGAGCTCGCCTGCGGTGGTCGTTTCGGGCAGGGTAACCATTACAGCGGTTCAGCATTTCAGGGTTGAAGGCGTGAGGGCTTTTGCCGTTATTCCAGGCTCGGGGTTTCTGCCTTGTTGTCCTCTTGCCACAGGATGCTCGGGACCGTGGCTGAGATTGGCATCAGCACGTGAACGACCAAGATCTCCTGACACGCAGAGACAGGTGCCGCTGTTCTTAGTGGTTTGAATATTTGTCCTGTGGTTCTGCATTCTTGCATGTTCTTGGCTGCTGCGGCTGCTGCTGCTGTGCTGCCAGCACCCTACTGCAACTACTGCCACCGCCACAGCTTCCAACAGTGCAGCAGCCGCAACAGCCACAACAACAACAAGGAAAACAACGAGGACTGCTAGTAGTACTCCTGCTGGCCTACTCGCCTACTACTAATCCTATACCTACTCCTACCCCTGCTCCGCCTACTCCGACCGCTCCGCCTGCTGCTCCTCCTCCTACTACTACTACCACTACCACTACCACTACCACTACCACTGCTGCTAGTACGGCGACGACGACTACGACCACAACCACCCCCCACTACTACTGCCACTGCTACTACGACTACGACGATGATGATGATGATGGTGATCATGAAGATGCTGATAGCAGTGGTAGCGACGTAGAGTGACGACGGTTCGAGCGATAGCCTGTTCAAAGGTCACTGCTATTCTTTACTGTAGGCACAAGCTCTGCTTGCTACGGTGCCTGGTGCCGTAGCTACTGCGGGCTCTATGTGCTGTCGAGCATCCCGAAAGACCTCCGCGGTGAAGGCGCTCACAAGGTTCCAGAACGGCTTGCCTGTATGTGACATTGCGCAGTTATGTATGGAAATATGTATGCACAACGCACATCCATTGTAATTATCGTGTTTCCGACAATACCTTGGGGACACGGGTTTCTCCGTGTCAAAAAAAGCGAAGCCCAAAGAACAAAAACATCCAAACCTCCATGCGACTGCCCTCCACAACAAGGCATCACCGCAGTCGCAAGGCCGATTGCACCAAAGACAGATGCAACTTGCAGCCACAAGCTTCCCTGGCCCTCAAAGCCTGAAGTCTGGAGCAAATCCAGGAACCTCCTAAGCAATCAGGTTAGTATCCAGTGAGGCTCAGCACTACGTGAAGCATCATGAAGCAATGAGCTGCACAAAGACTACTCAAAACGTGCAGAGTCATCCTAAACCCTCATAAAGCAATGAGCTTATTACGGACGGGCAGCAAAGCAAGAATTAAAACCATCACCATCTGATCCCATCATCAGTTCGAAACCTATCACCAAAAACCTTCTACCTACTTGTTTGATAACCCTCTGACAACTAGCCAAGCATGATCAAAGGCCAACAGGGTTTTCTTTACGACAGTTGGGTTGGGATTCCCGATAGTGTGATTCCTACTAGCTAGCACAGACAACTCCTGTTCTACCTGTTCGGTTCAAAGCTATATGAGTGTCGAAGTACGGCGATTCAGATTCCAGAAGCAGGAGCGAAAAAACAAAGTGAGCCTCCAAAACTGACGAATACTTTCCAGCGGCCGCAAGTTCCAGCGGCCGCAACTTTTTGCCATAAACATAACCCAACCCTAAACCGACAACCGAACCTTTGAGCGTCTGAGCGGACCCTGGCCTTGACGCATTGGGCTCAGCAGCAAAGACACGGTGACCGATTTGATCTCCTCCTCCTGAGCGCTAGGGAGAGGAGCCGGACACCTTCTTGGTTTATATGCCTGGAAAGTGCCTCACTTGCACTTGTCGTTGGAATCAGCATGGATTGGGGCTATGCAGGATGCATTGCAAGTAGTATCCTTGTGACGAGGAAGCCCTAAACATCTTCAGAAATCAAGATAGTGAATCCCATGCGCTATGACAGGGTACCTCCTCCTCCGTGACTTCCACCGCAGTTGCTGCGACCTGGCGGCACTTCGTTAGGGTTCATGCCGGGCTGAGAGAGTTTAGAGGTTAAGGGCATACCCCGAGCCCTGAACCCAAATCCTTTCGCGGACGTTTGAAACCCTAAGCTTCTGACTGATGTGAACCCTCATGACCGATGCTTGAATCGGCGCACCTCTAAGCCATCGGCCACGACTGCTCTTCGAGATGCCTTGAGACGGGAGGCACCTGACTCAAACAGTCTTCAAACACTTACGATGAAGGGTTTTTGCATTACGCTACAGGGTTTAGGGTTGCGAATTCAGCGGTTGGTTCTCGCGGCCCAGTGCTGCGCCGTGTTGATCGTTGTGACTCTGTTTGAATCAACAATTAGTACCAATGTCCCGTACAGGCCCCATATCGGAGTTTCCGATTATGGGGGACCCAAATATAGTACCCTAAAGAGTAGGATCCGTATTACAAGGACCCCAAAATAGGGTACCTAATTTTCGGAAACTCCCATATCGTGATATGGTTCCAGTCTGGCGGGCCCAGCTTCGGCCCCTTTAGGCCTCCTGTGGTGGACAGAAAGCTGCAAAACAGCTACTTGGAGGGTCGGGGGACGTAGTAAGTAGGTAGTAAGTAGACTGATAAGTACCCTAGAAGGGACCCTAATTGGGGTTATGGTACTTATAAGTCCCTAAAATAACCAGTTACTAAGTCCCCCGACCCTCCAAGTAAGCTAAACAAAAACTGATATAAAGCTTGTTTGTCAGGCCACAATCAACCACCCACACCCCTACCCCACCAAAACCCTACCCAGCTCGAAAATCTAGGTTGTCCAACTTCATCCTCTACTGGCTCCGCTTGCGTATTCTTAGATTTAGCTCTGTGGTGGCTTTTGTGCAGCATTTATTTGGCGTTTTCCGATACCTGCTGCATTATCGGGCTTGCCTGTTGGGCAGCTTTTCTTCCGGTTTTTCCAACCGATAACCAGGATTGTCTTAGCTTAAACCGTGCAACACTAAACAAGCTTTGCAGAATCCCAAACGCTAAACTCTACGACATCCAGAGCCCTTAACGCCAGAAGCACATGGGCTTAGCAACCAAGCCTAAACATCAAGGATCCGGGGCCTGCAAAGGTCCGGGAGTGGAGTAGCTCCAGCTTCGACCAGGCCTCACAGAAACTACGATCCAACAGTCTGGTCTCGGTTTGGGGTCCCCAGGCCTACTGCCACCCGGGGACGGGGTCGGGTTGGGGAAAGATCGCAGAGGTTGTGCAGTATGAGGTTGGGCTCGAGTAAACAGACCGATGCAAGACGACGGCTGCATGGAAGCTTCCGGCGGTTGTCGTGTGACTCTGTTGGGCGCACTGGCCTCTAAGTTCAGCCGCTTGTTCTGCGCCTCGGCTGAGCTCGATGCACAGGCAAACAAGACGGCTTCGGGATTCGAGGCTTCAGGGCCTTACGGAGTGTTGGCCCAGCCGAAATTAACATTTACCCCAGCAACCAACAGTTGCGGCCAGGGCGCCATCGGTAGCAGCCCATGCAGGGGTGCTCGCTTCAGGTCCGCGCCCAGCAGCTCCTCCCAGCTGGGCTCACAGCCCGTAGAGTACGACGTCGAGGCAAGTTAAGATAGGTTGAGGCTGTCGTCTGCACTCACTTCCACCTGAATTCTGATCAGACACCTTCAGGATGCAGTCAGAATGCGAGCATCCTCTTTCATCTGATTCTGTGCAGCTAGTCAGAGCTGCAATTGCTGGTACATGTGCAGTTCAGCAAAAGGAAGTGTGCCCTTGCCAAGCTCCTCCAAGGGGCTTCCGCTGAGGTCCTTATTGGCAGGCAGAGTGAGCAGCTGTGGCTTTCTTTGGGATAGATGGCCCCGCCCAGGACTCAAATCCGAGGCGCCATGAAACTCTGCGATGCCCCCATGATGCCGCCCAAGGAGAAAGCCACGCATGGGAGACCAGGAAAGGGCTCATCCTTCGAGATCTCACTGCTTTTTGGCTTCTACAGTCTACAGGGCTTGTGTGCTGCACAGGCAGGCTACACCGTGATGACACGGGCAGTGGACTGCAAAGATGTGCACGCTTACAAGAAGTATTGTTTGGACTGTCACGAGGATCATGGTGACAAGGTCACGACTGTACTTATCAGTATTTGCATATGTTCTGAATCTATAACATCGGTAGGAGTATTGCACCAGTCACTTCCATAAGGCTACTTTCTGGCTGCAGTGCCAATGCTGCTCCTACTTGCGCTACTCGTACCACCAGCACCACCAGGACGACTACTACTGCTTCGGCTGGTCATGATTGACATTCACGGATTCTGCGTTGCAGGGAGCCTGGGGAAGCGTGAGGTTTGGCTCTCGGGGTCTTGGTGTCTGTCAACAAGCCGGAGAAAGCTCCGATGCCGTCCTCTCTGATGGGGACGTTCCTCAGTGTGGCTTCCTTAGGCAGAGCGTGGCGGCAACAGGCCTACGATAATTGGGCGATTTCCCTGCTGGAGGGAGCCGTTTGCCTGTTGCTTGAGCACCAATGATGGGCAAAAACCTGAACACCATAGAAAAATGCCATCCTGCTCCTGCCACCCCAAGGTTCCAGGAAGACACACTGATTTAGTGACGGCATTGCACCCATCAGCACACGCTCACAGCATATGACGGCTACGAACTGTGTCCATCGTATCTTGTGTCCTCTCACCATGCATCATCACAGCGGCCAAGCGCCGCCTTGTTACACATCGAACATGTGCACATCACTACGCACCTGAGATGTTGGATGGCCATAGCAGACATCCAGCATATAATAGAAGCAACTTAGCGAGTCGGTCTAAACCCCGCTTCTCCGTGGGGCTCTGGCCAGCATCCGCTGGCCATCTTGGCGTGGCCCACAGATCTGCTTGAGCGGCCCGGCGACGGCAGTCGCGATCTCCTGCCACGGCAGTGCCTGATCGGGATATCACGCATGCGCAGCAAGTACGACTAGACACCGCCCGATGTTCTTCTGAATGCACTGCATGCATGCATGCATGCATACATACATACACACACATACATGTGTTAGCTGAACATGTGTCGGTATCGATGTCACACTCTAAATATATGCATATCTTGTATCTAATGCGTTCGTCAACCAGGCAGCCCATGCTTGGGAAGCGGAGATTGGCTTGCTGCTCGCATGGGTATGACATGCATGCTGAAGCGTCGTGCAATTCTCGACAGGAAACAACCATCCCGTGCACATGGAGGGTGTGTGTTTCAGCAACATCCGGCACGGCAGCGCACACGTCTGCAGGAAAGTGAGTTCTTCGTCTTCTTGCTTACTAGACCCAAGAGTAACCTAGGAATAAAAAGGGTGCCCTTTTTGGTGTAAAGGGGTTTATAAGGGAACCTGAACCCAAAAAAGGGAATAAGGGCCTACTCTGTGTCCTAGCTTATGTCCCCCCGCAAGTGCCAAACAACTTGAGCTTCCCCGGCCTTTCGCTGCTGTCCTCCCCGAGTAGGATCACCGACCTAGAGCAACAAGCATCAAAGGGAGTTGCACAAATCGATAAGCAGAAAAAGAATGTGAGATACGTAGAGAAGTACATACATACATACATACATACATGCACAACGAATGATACCAATTCTTTTTTTTTTTTTTTGGGGGGGGGGGGGGGGTGCCCCGCCCCCTTAAGCACATTACTTGTTGCCATGCGTTGCTCCGGGGATCCATGACCGAACACTGCAAGTAGATCATGTCAGTTGGAATGTCTGACGTACATCGCCATACAGTGTACAGTAGCACCCCCTCCAAGTACATTAGGCCCTACCACCGAAAGCATCTTGTAGCCGCTGCTGGCAGAACTCTTCAAAAAGCCGGGCCAGCAGCATTTGGCAGGACAGGAAGGTCGCCGCCTTTGGTCAGTGTCGGCATACCTCGCAAGGGCTGCAGAAGTCTGCTGCCCCTGAAAAGGTCTTAGTACAAGCCAGGGTGGCAGGATTGAGACTGGGGAAACTTGATTGAATGCAGCGGTCACACCCTGAACATCAAAGATCATCAAAGCAACAACACATTGACCAACCGTGAGTTTTGAGCACAGACTATGCTGCACTGGACCCAGAAACGGAAGTAAGTACGAAACGTCTGCTTGCCTGATGTACTCTTCGCTGCGAGCGTCGTCGCCGCATGGTCGGAGACAGAAGCTCGATTATGCTTGGTTGCTTGGCCTGAGCAAGCCCTATGTTCTATCATGTGCTTGGTCGAAGGCAATCTCAAGAGAATGAAGCATTGAGCATTGAGCATCCATGAGTGAGTATCCATGAGTGAGTTCCTGTACGCAAATCCACTGAGCAGGTCGATAGCAGTACGGTCCTAACGAAAAGATGCAACTGAACAAGTTCTTGCAGAAAGATACTTGAAGGCCCCTGGGAGTTTACCTACTTCAAGCAAGAGATCAGGGAGGATCGGAGAATCCCTGCCGCTTTCAGCGTGCGGATCGCCGGGCTTGCCGTCTTAGCAGCCCGAGCCCTCCCCCTCTGACCTTACCTTCCAGAGCCACAGAGGAGCGGGCACCACGAAGTCACGGAGAAGGCTGCATTTCGTATAAAGATGAATCATCGGGTGTCTGACCGAGTCGAACTCCGAGAACCAAAGAAGCAAGTCTCAAGGACTCAACGAGCAACGACGAAACCCGCGAAGGATGGCGCAGTTGCTGCATGGGCAGATGCAGGTAGACCTCGCCTGCAACTTTTTCGACCTTCCTTCAGAGGCTCAGCATGCTTTGCATTGAATCGAGCGTGCAGGTACCCACACTTGCACTTTACTTTGGCTTCGCAGACCGGACTTTGCCGCAGTACTGCCTGATGCTGACATGACTCTGAACTCCCAAGCCCCTTGATGCTGTGTTGTTGCTGCCCGCCCCAGCTTTACTGAGATCGTATGGTCTACAAGAGTCTACAGACAGATTCATTGAGGCTCATGACATGAGCAGCTCTGTGACATGAACAACTCGCACAACTTTCTGCCCCAAGCCCTCATAGCGGATCCGTGCTAGCAAGACCCAGAATCAGAGGACAGGCCCAGGATCTGCGTCTTGAAGACCTCTCCCACTGTAGTAAGCGGCATAAACCATCAGAAGAGGCGTCTGTTACTCCGGGCTTCCAGGTCGCGAACGGCAAAGCAGGATTTGAAGCCAACTACGCGGGTGCCCGAAGTCAAAATCACAAAACTCTGAGATCTCTGCACACTCGCTGTTGGGGCTACAGATAGCTGTTTCTCAAGCCGAAGAGCCTGTGAACTCTAGCATTATTCGGACGAGCAGCGAGGGCAACTGCAGTTAAGTTGAGACCTATGCTAACACAAGTAGCATGTACTGATATGATATCGCGCATCGCGATGAGATGCAAGTCACTCACAATGCGAAGTAGTATCATAGGGACTCAACTCTAGGTCCAGGAGCTGCTGCAGACGAGGTTACAAGACGAAACGCAACGAACAGGGTTTTGGGTTTAGGATTTTGGGGACTTTAGGGCTTAGTCTATAATAACAGGGCTTGGGGGAGGCCTTTTTGCAAACAGTCTCGACTCGGCTGAGTAGAGCTACGAGCCTTCAACCGTTCCGACTCGGCACTCAGAAGAGTCGCAGAAACAATTGAGAGCAAAAAGTACGGGGAAGATAATGATCAGTACCCATGATTTTTGCCCACCCCTTCGTCTTCTGCTTCTGCTTCCCACGACTTCGCGGCCGACCTCCACGTCCGAAACCAGGCCGGCGGTGTGAGACTCCAGCATGCCCTGGCCAGTTTCAGCTTGAGCTGATCTTTCGGGAGATGCCGTCCTGAAGCCTAAAACCCGAGGGTACGTAAGAAAGGTGTGATGTATTCAACCAACCACGGGCTACCATACTGTGATCTGCGACTGTGTTTGCTTTGTTGGCTTTGGCATACGTAGCATGCGGGGTGCATGCTACCGTGCTCAATTCAACGACGGCTTGCGCCAGTCGTTGTAATTCTGACCTGGAGTCACGAGGTATGGGCGCGGGCGAAGTGGGGTTGCCTTTCTGCCGTCGGATGGCCTTGACCACGCGGCTACATCATCCTAAAATCTGTCTGAGGCTGTGGCTAGCATGGCCTTTAGGTGCGCCTTCTCCGCCTGGCTTTGTTAAGACAGAAGAACAGCATGCACAAAAGCAGCAACACCAACGCCTCTGATACAGTAGCAACAGATAGACAGCAGAAGGCAGTGCAAAGACTTAATTAAGACTTCAGCAGGACCAGTATTGGTAGTAATACCATGCAAGAGTTCCGTCTTCTTCTGGATTGTGTTCTATGTCTGCATCTGCAAGCATGAACCTGGCTGTACATGTTGGACAGTCCGGCACGAGTCAACACCAGAAAAATCCAGTTCGAACCGACACCGCAGATCAACCATACAAGGATCAGATCGCACACTGCATATTGGAATGCCGAATTTGGCGTCTTATAAATTGCACAGAACAAGCATGCTGGTGCCAAACCTGTACATCATGGCTGCGTGAAACCTCTTCCGAAAAAGTGACTTCAATAATTGAGGGAAAGCAGGGCAGGACGGGGAAGCTCGCAGGGGCTGGTGAGACCGAGAGAGTATCGCACAAGTAAGCCCATGATAATCTAAGGTTAGGGATTCTGCGCTTTTCGGCAACTTCCCACAACCCGGGTTCGCGGCTGTCCTGATGGCCAGATAGGACTCGAATCTGTGTCAGGAGCTCCTGCGCAAACTACACCCAAAACCCTCACCCCCGAAAATTCTGTATATACCTCCAGAAATGAGCCCTCGGCAACTTCAGAGCGGCAGCAGTAGCTGCCCTAGCCATGCTGCGCAGCAGTGCCAAGCGAAAAGACTGAAGGAGTGTGTCGCGGAGAAATCGACAGCGCAGACCAGCGACGAGCTCCTGGGACTTCTCCTG